TTCGGTACCGTGAAAATGACGCCACGGAAACGAAACGCTATCGGTAACGATTGTTACTGTGATTTTCTCATTTTTTTTTTATTTTTCTTTTTTTTTGTTTTTTTTTTTTTTTTTTTTTTTTTTTAAGAACGGCTCAGTAACGTGGACGCAGACCCACACGAGGTGGCCTTATGGATCCTACTGAAGAAGACGCAGTCCGAGAATCGTGCGCTCAGAATTCAAGCTGCGCAGGAACTGGCGGACAGTTGCCACTGGCACGGTAAAGTCGCATGCGCCGATGTTCTATGACACGACACGGACCGCATTCCAATCACATGATCGGTGTTGATATTGACGATGAAGACTACCAGTACCAGACCGCAGCCCAGGTGATAGACCAGAGGACCGCAGTGGGCCTTGCTCGAACGCCTCGAGCAGACCTGAGGTTCTTCCTGCGTCCGCCGGCACTCCCTGACCTTGATGATGTAAGAATCGCCCTGAAAAATCAGCACCCCAGTCATCTCTGTTGTTTTACTTACACCTGCTATTTGCCTGACAGGGTTTCTCTGCAGAGGACGGTCTGAGGCAGCTGCTGGCCTCCCTGCCGCAGTCTGAAGTGGACAAATGCGTTCAGTACTTCACCTCGCTGGCCCTCAGAGAAAGCACACAAGCGTTAGCAGCGCAGAGGGTAAAGATGGCTCCGCGGTGAGCCTTTGTAGCCCAATTGTGTTCATCCTCGTCTTCCTCCGACGTCGTGCTGCAGGGCGGCCTATGGTGTTTCGGTGGCAACGGCTTACCTTACGCCCAGAGCCTCACGTCTGTTCCCTCGGAGAAGGTGGAGTCCTTCTGCCTGCAGGCTCTGGTGCAGCACTCCAAGGTACCGTCGTACCTCTCAAGTCGCGTCAGCCTTCCCGAACAAGCACGGAAACGCCTCTCGCCGCAGGTCAGGAGCCACTGTGACCACATCGTGTCCAACGGAGGCCTGCAGCTCCTTCAGAGGGTCTATCAGCTCCGCAGAGACTCCAAGAATATACAGAGGAACATTGTACGGATCATCGGGAACCTGGCACTTAACGAGAGAGTTCACCGGGCCATCGTGGAGTCAGGTGTGAACCAATTGCGCCGTCGTTAACGACAAAGGGCTCTCTCGTTTTAAGCTAAAACGACGACGTACTTTGATTTATCCATCCAGGGTGGCTGTCAGTGCTGGCCGAGATGGTGCAATCTCCTCACGTCATGGAGGCGTCTCACGCAGCTCGCGCCCTGGCCAACTTGGACAGGGAGACGGTGAAGGAGAAGTACCAAGACGGCGTCTACGTCCTCCACCCGCAAACACGCGGCAAGTAGGAAAGCACTACGCTTCTTCCTTTCAATAATCTCGACTATGTTGTCGTTTTCCAAAAGCAAGTCTTTTTTTTTTTTTTTGTGGACGATTGCAGCCAGCCGATCAAAGCAGACGTGCTGTTCATCCACGGCATCCTGGGGGCGGCTTTTAAGACGTGGCGCCAGAGGGATCGAAATGCGTTACGAGACGAGAACGACGAAGACAGCGGGGATGATTACACGGAGTGCTGGCCAAAGGTGAGAGCGCCAAATCGGCGGCGTCGCTCGCGTGTGGGCGAGTCTTTGCGCTGATGAGGAAATGTGATGTCCTCTGCTGAACAGACGTGGCTAGCAGCGGACTGTCCGAATCTGAGGGTGTTATCGGTGGAATACGACAGCCACCTTAGTGACTGGGTGGCCAAGTGCCCGGCCGAGAATCAGAGGTCAGAGATCCTGGCCAATGTATGAGGGAAAACTGTCGTCCCAAATCATTCATTCTTTCTGGATTCGTCTCTCCTCAGAAAGTCCTTGGCCTTCAGGAGTCGAGAGCTACTCAAAAAGCTTAAGATGGCGGGAGTTGGAGACCGGCCGGTGGTCTGGGTAGCTCACAGTATGGGAGGTATGGCTACCCGAATGTATCGAGTGTTCACACCGAGTGTCTTTGGACCGGTCAAAACAATGTCTGGTGTGAGGAAAAGAGGTTCACAAAATTACACAGACTAAAAATAGGATTGCGCTTGACATCACAATACATTACGTACACTTACCGACACTCTGTTTCCCTTCTCTCGTCATTGAATTTCTCTTGTCAGGCTTGCTGGTGAAAAAAATGCTGATTGATGCCTCGGAGGATCCGGACATGAGCGATCTGTTCCAAAACACCAAGGGCATTTTGTTCTACAGCGTTCCCCATCACGGCACCTTCATGGCAGAATACTCAGTCAATGTCCGCTATCTACTTTTCCCTTCCATTGAGGTCAGAGAGCTTTGCAGAGGTCAGTGAGTGAGGTCAACCCTGGGATCCGAAATGTAAAACGGTTGACTTTTGTCTTTTGGACAAATAACACTCGGTAATGTTTGTAGACTCTCCGGCACTGCGTGACCTGAACGAGAACTTCTTGAATATGGCCAAAGAAAAAGAGATCAAGGTGCTAAGCTTTGCAGAGACGCTGCCCACAAACATTGGTCCGATGATCAAGATACTGGTGGTGCCTGCACAGTCTGCCAGTAAGTACCACCAGCTTGTATTATAAAAATCAAAACAACTCATTCACAGGCACATTTTCCAGAAATGGGAAGATAAAAGCTTTTACTTGGTTGATTAATTTGGCATTTGAGGGATGGGCGAACACTCCACAAACCCGATTTATACACATGATTTTTCATAGCTTGACACCTCCTCACCTTGCGCGGCCTTATTGTGGTTCCAGATATCGGCATCGGGGACTTGATCGAGGTGGACGTGGATCATCTCAGCATCTGCAAGCCAGAGAGGAAGGACTCATTTTTGTACAAGCGCAGCCTCCAGTTCATCCAGGAAACACTGCACAGTTCCATCGGTCGATGACGACAACTTTTCATCCCAGGATACTCCAAGCAACCCTGAACCACAACTCTTCATCATAGCCGACTTTACTCATCACGAATATTGCAGTCACAGTGAAGAGTTGCCAGTAGTGATAGTAAACTGGATGCTGATCTCTCACAAAGTGGATTTCAACACTTATTTTAAAAGTGGTTGGTGTAACAAAAAAACATGTCCACCTGCTTTTATTTTTCCTAAATTAAGACAGACCATCTTATTTATTTCAGACATGATTCTTAATGTTTTTTTTAACCATGACACTGGCTTATCATGAAGTATTTAAGACCAACGTTATACTTGTTGTTTATTTATGCTGAATTTAGGGACCTATTTTGATGTGCAACTTCAACTACCACTGTTCAAATACATTTTTAAAAATTCTTTTGCATCACACATTTCAGTGAGAATAAAACGTGTTAAGTTGGGGGTCTCAATTAAGTCACTTCTTTTCGGACTCATAAGATATTCATTTATAACTAGCTCACATGCTAACTGTGCCAACCAAGTCAACAGTCAACGCAAGTACAGCTGAAGAAAAAAAAGGGTTTTACAATTTATGACAATTATTTTCATTATTATTATTTTCAGGTATTTTCATAAACATGACAAGACATTCTACATTACATTGTTGCATAGTACAGTATTCCAACTTTTAAAGTACCGTATTAAAAGCATCAGCATTTGAGAACAACGAGGCAAAAATTGTCCGTACGCTCCTGCCGTATGTCGTCATCATAATGAGACGCACAAGCTAGCGTCGAACAATAATAACAGATTCCAGGTTAGTTAAAGTCGTCCTATTTTAAATATACTTAATATCTATGCTGTCGTGTACTAAACGTGGGAACACCACTGATGGTAAACGTCGCTTTAGCCGCGGGAGTTTAGACGTTAGCACACTATGGCTATTATTACCTTCGCGGATGCAACAGTTTCACGGCCGCCTGGGTTAGTAATGTTGTTTTCCAACAACAGGTCTCAAATCTACCGGTCAATATGGTCAACGTGCACAAAGGCGTCCTTGTCGAATGGTAAAAGACTGCTGTACATCTTTCGATATGTCGATGAGTTACTGGAGGTATTAAAACGAGTCTTTTGTCTGTGTTTCGAAGCGACCCTGCCATGAAACAGTTCCTCCTGTACCTGGATGAGACCATGGCCCTGGGGAAGAAGTTCATCCTGAAGGACCTGGATGACACGCATGTGTTCATCCTGGTCGAGGTGGTCCAGACCCTACAGGAGAGAGTTGGAAAGCTCATAGACCAGAATTCCTTCACCATCACACAGAAATGAGACACCACTGGGGGTGGGTGGGGGGCGTTGGGAGAAATCATGACATTCTGCTTTGGTTTGATTTTGTGCACATCACTTTTGGATCATTAAAACGATGCAAGGAAATGACTGTTTTTGGATATAATAAACCACGTTGAATATGTTTTCTCGTCTTACCTTTTTGTAACAGAACAAGCAATGACAAATAACCGTTAGTAGTTATATATGCTAAGATAATTATTTAGATAGTTACATAACTTCTAAAGAAAGGTACACTGTAGCTTTATATAAAATGCATAAGCACACAAAAATGATTTTCCCCCAAACGTGCTCTCAGTGTGGATAAAACAGAAAACGTTATACAATATAAGTATGCTTCAGGGTAAAAGTGTAGTTGAGACGTATTTTTGTTGCTGAGAGGATGCATTTGAGATTTAAATTTGATTTTGAAACACATTCTTAAACCAACAATGTCTATGTAAAAAATGTACTCTGTTAACAATTGCTATCATTAAAATTGAAGTTTTTAACGTTCAAAAATATTCAGCTGAAGAGGAATTTGGTCGTCCATTGTCCTCCATCAGATATAATTAAAACGAAGTGACATTTTATTCCTAATTAAGTGTTCAATTTAGCGTGGCCTTCGAAAAAAAGGAACATTTATCGCTCTGGTTCGACGTTTGTACGTTGCCGCGGAAACACTTTTATTGTGACGGTACCGTTCCTTGTGTTAAGCTAAGCGGAAGTTGTGTTCCGCGCAGACAATTTGTGCCTTTTGCATCAAAATGGAGGAAGGCGAAGATGAGGTATGTTATCAATATGATCATTTTAATTGCAAATACGTCATGGTTTCATTTTACACTTGGACCCGGTTATGTAAAAAAATAAAATAAAATTAAAACATCACTAAGTTAAATGCGAGAGCGATCGCTGCGATTGAAGCACTTTTCTTATTTGTTTGTCTCGCCAACAGACTACGTTTGTCGTGGAAGATGTCAGCAAATTAATAAAAGACGTAAGTTGGAAAAAATATGCACACATGTTATCCGATTCTGTGGGTTCTAGTTCTGTTAGCTAGCTAGCTAACGGTGTTCTGTTTAGCGACGTATTGGTTGCTATGGATACGGTAACCACGCACGTGTGGTGGATCTTAAAGTTATTTAAAGTGAAAGTCATTTTTCCACAGTGTTTCGAAATTATTGGAATAGTTTTAAAACGGGTCTTTATTTAATTAATGTAGCCGTTTTGTACTTTAAAATGTATCTATATTCTTACTCTTTAATTAAATAATTCGTTATTGTCTTGTAAATCGGAACAAAGTAGTAAAATAAACTGTTCATACATACTTTTGAACATCGTTGTAAGTTTACTGAACAATTTATCCTAATTGAATTTATCATTAACGCAATACTGATACTCGGCCATACCAACTAATTATAATGATATAATAAAATTAACAATGAAAATAATTTTTAAAGAATGTACATGTTAAACATTGCGGGATTTCTACCGCAGTCCATAGAAACAACCATCGGCACGAGCTCTTACCAACACGTCCGGGTGAACCAGTGGAGCACCGCCATTGTGGAGCAGTGCCTCAGTCAACTGTGCAAACTGGGAAAGCCTTTCAAATATATCGGTCAGTGTGAATATTCCAGAGTAATATTCATCTTCTAATCTTGCACCGATTCATAACACTTCTCTGACTTTTGTTTCAAGTCACTTGTATCATCATGCAGAACAACGGGGCCGGGCTGCAGACTGCCAGCTCGTGCTTCTGGGACAACTCTACTGACGGTAAAATAAAAAAATAATTATACCGGTGCAGTTTAAATCGATGAGAGTTTTCGAAAGGTGAATAGTTTTACTTTATTGTTGTCTCAAACAGTGCTCACCTTTTGTTGTCTCAAATAGGAAGCTGTGCAGTCAAGTGGGAGAACAAGTCCATGTGTTGCATCGTCACCGTTTTTGGTTTGGCAACCTGAATGTTCAAACGTCTTTGGCCATCATCTTGGCCGCTTTTCCACGTGCGTATGATGGATAATCGAATAAAAATGAACCATTTATTATTTTCAAAGAGATTTTTATTTATTTTTTGGTCCTTGATTTGAAACACGTCAGGACCCGCCGTCTCGTTACAGCACTTGAAACTGAGAATGTTCGATTCCCATTGAAAGACGGTGACTGGTACATGTTGGCCGTTTACTCATCGGTTTGACAGGAAGAAAAGGCACCAGGTCGATTGGAATACACGTGATGATGTGTTTTTGGGCTCCCTGTCAACTTGGACGAAGCAAAGGGCGGCAAACGTTTGGCATATGAGTGCATTGTGTGGTGAAGAAAACAACGTTTACATCCTGTTTTAACACATCTACGTAAAAGGCAATGATGGATAGTAGTATGTAAGAAAACTGCAATAGTAGTCGATATAAGTACAAATTCGCATAATTCATCAAACAATACAGGACCAAATGTCAACAAATAAATACAAAAAAAAAGTGCATTTACAAAAAAAAACTTTCCCCTCCTCCCAGACAGTAAGAAATATGGTACAGTACTGCCCCTGTGATTTGGAACAAATGCAGAAACACAGCTTTGGCACTTACTATACATGAATGCAGCTCTGACATGCCATCGTGTTTACTTCCTAATCATCACAATGTGACAAAAAAAAAAACTTTTGGTCACACTTGATGTCACACAGTAGCTTGCACTGACAACCACAGCAGTAGTCCAGATATCAGTAGTTGAACAGAAAGGGTACAAAATGTCGACTGTCTTTCCAAAACAACAACAAAAGATAAAAACCCCTTATAAATATTTGCACTTTTCATATTACTTCAAAAGCTTGACGTGCGACGTCCAAAAGAGTATTAAGGTCAAACTGAACAGAATAATGTCACATGATTAGGATGAGGCTGAAATTCTCATTTACAAGCAAAACAAACAAAAAAAAGTTGTAATTTTGTGACATTCAAGAATTTAAACTATGTTCTTATGATACAACTTAAATCTCAAATGTCCTCTCGTAATGTGACAGCTGCAACATGACGACTCTTGCGGTCACATTAAATGAGAGGTGTAAGAATAAATCTTTAGTCTTCATTTCCGAAACATTCCGACTTCATTCTCGGATCATTATGATCCCACCCCGGCCCCTCTGTTTTAGTTGACGTGCATATCTTTTCAGAGTGGCCCTATTACTCCTTTATCGTGAAGAAATGCTGGTCGTGAACGGCAAATAAATCTTGCGATTTCCAAAAAAAAAAAAAAAACGACAATCCTCCATTTTCAGTAGAACTACAGTACAGTCCATTTCTGGAGAAGTGGCCCTGTTCTTAAAAATATTCATATGTACACTTGCAGAGTAACATTGTGAAAATATTTCTTATTTACACATAAACATGATGCTTTTTTTTAGTTGTTGTTTGTTTGTTTGTCTACACCGCATCAGTCGCTATCGCTCTCGTCCTGGAACTTGGTGGTCGCTTTGATGGCGCGTCCGTTTTGCAAAGGCATTTCCTCATAATCGCTCCTTTGGAAAGGAACAAACCAACATCAACTCAAATCGGCATTGGAGGTTAACTCGCCCAAAAACAGGATATGTTGCGCATACGTACCCGTAGATGACGTCGTCGTCGGAGTCGTTTAGCATGGAGAAAGCGGGATTATCTTTCAACTGGGAGTCTTGACAGACAGATGAAGCCAAAATGGATCAATCACCGTTTCAGTCTTATTATCAATCAGATGAGAAAAGTGTTTCATTTCCACTACTTACCGTAAAGGGCATTTTTGGAGGGAGAGTACACAAACGCCAACGTGTACAAGTAAAAGTTGAGCAGTCCGTAAAAGGACAAAAACTCGGCTGGTATGGCCGCAGTTAAGGACAATTGACAAACTTTAAAAAGATGGATGAACAGAATGTTTGCACATCACGGTCACGTTAAAAGGATATAGTTTTGGTAGTGAGTGGACAGCTCGGCCACAAAATTGTCCTGGAGCGCCTTGGCACCGAATCTCAAGTAAAGAATGACCAAGCTGAGGACAGCAAAGGCGCAGTTAGGTGCGACTGTGAACCAATTAGGAGACACCGACGAGCACTCGTACCTTATAGCGAGGACCACAGACGTCAGCGCTGTCAAGAACTTGAGCCGCAGATCTACAAACGAGTCAAACCCAAAATGAATACACGAAACAGTGGTTCACTTTTTTTGCTAAGAGGCATGAAACCTGAGTAGGGCATGTTCTTGAGTTCCGAGCAGGCTCTGACAATCAGGAAGGTCAAGTAGAGGACGTAGAGGACAACGATAATCAGGAAGAACAACTTCATGCCCTGGGAGGATACAACTTTTGATTCAACGGGAAAACTCTTTCAAAATGGCGTCAAAAAATGACAGATGACTTCACCCACCTCAAAGTTCTGGATGTCCACATAGTACTGGTAGGTGGGGTCTTGGACTTCATTGACCCTATGAATCCCACAAAGAGAAAATATTTCATTTCTACATTCAGACGCCAAAAGCCGACAAATAAAACTCACGTCTGCCAGATGCCCAGCGTGACGGCCGACAGCCACAGAAGTCCCACGATGACCACCTTCAGCAGGTAGAAGGTCAGGCATCGCCGCTCGCCCTGTGGGGCATGAAACGTCGCTCGCAATCATACTCAACCCCACGGTGACGACAACGACGACACGGGATCTACCTGAACACGGATGCCGTGGAAGACGCAGAGCCAGAAGAGCAGCAGGGCGCACAGGAACAGAGCCTGGAAGAAGGCGTCCAACGTGCCGGGAAACCAGCTGTTCACCAGGAAGGACAGCGGAAAAAACGGATCTGGAAGGCAACACGCAAGCCAATTGATCTCATTCTTTTTTTCCCACACTTCGTAGCCAAAGCTCGCAAGTGTGTCACCACTTTAGTTGGGAGTCAAGGGAGGTATGAGAGAGAATTACCATTGTAGAGCAGCAACAGAGGCATGAGGATGGCCATCCACTTCTGCTCGATGCCCCAGTCCCGCATGGAAAACTTCCTCAGCGAGTGAGCAAACAGACACTGAGAGTAAAGAGAACACAACGGATGGGTTAAAATGTCCGCTCGCTAACAACGGTCCCGAATTGTGCTTGAAAGAAGGTCAAATGAGCCTCACCGTGACCATGAAGGTCAACAGCACAAAGACAAAGCGGAACCAGATCTCCACTTGGGAAAAGGTGGGATTGTAGGTTTTCCACTAAACACATATATGACTTGTGAATCAAACCGTCGACAAGAATTGCGATGATCGACGTGTTTGGATATCTCACCACAAAGTTGACCTTCAGGTCGTATGTGATGTTTTCAAGGCCTTTGAAGCTGACCGTGACCTGGTATTGGCTGTAGTTGAGGTAGCCCAGATGCAGCACGATGATCTCGTCGCATTTCTGCAACAAGTTCAGGCGACGCGTTCATGATGCGTTTGTTGGGCGGGCGGGGGTTCGAGTGGAAGGCGACACTCACGGTACCGCAGTGCAGCGTTCGCGACTTGCTGCGGACGCTGTTGACATGCGTCACGCTGGCATCGGGCAACACACCCTTGAGCTCCACGTCGATCTCAAAAGGCTGCTGGAAGTCGCCCACTGCAGCAGACAACGAGGGCAATCCGTTAAGACTGAGGCCCGAATAGTGAGCAATTGTCATCGTGCGCTGAAACCACCCAAGCGTGCGATAGGGCATGACTCCAAATGTGACTCACTCCAAGTCGGCCCTTAAATCATTGAGGAGCTTTCGTTTCTGCTATTTCAAAAAGATTCTTACCATTGCTGTGTTGAGCCTGAATCACACAGGTGAGCCACAACTGCTGATGATATGTGGTGAGAGGAGGGGAAATTAGACCGAAGGGCCCAGTCTGAAAATATAAGAATTACAAATGTATTAATTTGCACTCGGCAAATAATTAACAACATACCACAAAGAAGAAATAGGAAAGGGGGGAAAAAAAAAACAACGATATGTTCATAAATTTGAAATTGGGGTGGTGGGGCAAGTTGCAATTTTACAAGAACAAAAACATACTACGGCAAATAAACAATTCCCGAGATATTAACGGAATATTTTTTTCAAGAATAGGTCCTTAGTTTATGAGAGAAAAAGACTTCAATCAGGTAGAAATACTTTGCGTGACAATTAATTACAAGTCACCAGACCAACTTTTATCACCTGACCTGAACGGAGACATTTTTGGCAAGGAACTGGTCCCCATTGTACACCTGCTCAGAAAGAATCTTTGGGCCTATCAAAAGAAAAACAAACGCATTTTACAATAAGCACTTAATAGTAATTTATAAACGCAGATTAAGACATACAACTGTAATGTACACACCTGCAATTCCGATCAAAACTGTGAGGCCGAAACAAGCGAGGAAGAGCACGAAGACCAATACGAAATGTCTTTTGGATAGTGTGTAGAGGCGCATGGGCGCCAATCTACATTGGGAGACAAATAAGACACACAAGACGCCATTCGAGTTCCATTATTGACCAATAGCCTGCAAAAAATCCCCAACACAGGTATGTCATCATAGCTAGTTTCCCACATTAGCATGCGCTACCAGAAGCATATGGCGCATCAAAACCCGGTAGTTGATTGCCTCTGTCATTTATAAACATCACGATGACGGTGTAACGTAACACTTACGGCTCCATTTGTGCCGTTTTGTCAAGAAAAGTCGCTTTGGCGGTGAGACTACATCCGCGTTGAAGAAGCCAGCTGGGTGAAAACACTATAGTGTGACGCCATCCAAAGAGGGGCGGAGCAGGAAAAGAAAGCCTGCAACGTCAGCGTTTTGCTTGAGATTTTTGATTCGCGTGTACATATTCGATACATTTTTAATTTGATATGTCTATCCAATTTTGAATATGATTATTGCACAAAAAAACTATATATATTTAATGATTGAAATATGATCGTATTAAAAAGGTTTAACTCAACTCTATTGTATTTATTTATCTCTATTCCCCCACCAGTCTAAATACCGTATTGTTATTTTTAATATTGCATTTGTGAAAAGCAGAAAAAATGAAACTATTTCTGTCCATCTCAGAGGGCTGCCATTTTTCTCTGGTCTGCCACCTGCTGTCGGCTGAAATTGACGTCACGTAGTGCCCACGGGCTCAGTTTGAGAAAATCACGGTTAAAAAAAAAAAAAAAGAGAAAATCACGGGTGACCGGTTTTCGAGCATTGGTTACGAGACACATCTATCTATCGATCCATCCAAATACATGACGTCACTAGCATCATAAATGTCTTGCTATTTGACGTAAGCGGGGCACCTGTAAAAGCGCTCATCCCTGTAGGGTGTCAGTTCCTCCTTGAGCTCATTGTAGGCCTCCTGGACTTTCCTGCAAAAGTGTTTGAGCTCGCTGTAAAGGGGGTTCTCCAAGTAGTCGCTGTCCATGACGCCCCTGTTTGGATGGGTGGAAGGATGGAGGAAAAAATGGCGATGGCAAGGGAGAGGGATGAAATCGGCGGCCGCTCGTTTGCCGGTTGAATTGAGAATGCAGGCCAAGCAGTTTCCTTTGTAACTGCTCAATGGTGAAAGCGAGAAAAGAGAGGAGAACGGATTTAATAAAGAGGCGGCGGATGTGGAGGAGAGGGAGGGGTCACGTGACTAAACATCAGCACCGTGGACAGAGAAGCGGCTGGTGACGTATCCTCCCAAATACGTTACGTCAATTACGAATGCATTGTATTTATCGATGAATTTTATTATTCAGAAAAAAAAGTTTTTGTTGTGAATACAATACACTTCTCTATGAATGTAGGAAAATAGCACTCAATAATTTCTTACCGTGTAATAAATAACATGAATATCACAATTAAATTAAAAATAAAAATGTGTGAACAGGTTGGCCACCTGGGGGCAGTATCGTAGTGTACAGAAACATTGTACTGCACACTTGAGTACACCTCAGTAAGGCAGTAATATTAGTCAATTCTTTTCATAGGACAAAGAACTTATGCACGTGATTATCTGTCTACGTGTGTTTGTGTTTGTATGGCTGTGTTCAAATATGCTGAAAGAGTTACAACACCACAACAGAAGGTTTTGGCATTTGCCATTATGTGTCACCATTTAGCCAGTGGACCTACGGGTAAAGATGTATGGTTGACTCGCGTGTAAACATCTACCAGCAACTCAAAATGTATGACATATTGTTAAGGTAAAAGGTAATCTTCAATCACTACCATTCCAAACGATTCTTTTGGCAACAAAGATGTTTTATTCAAAAGATGCTTGACATATACAATTATAAAATAATTTACATGGCATGCCTAACTAATCCATTCACTAAAAACGTTCAGTCACCAAATAGGTGCGTTTTTTTTCCTTTGTCTTTTAAAGTCTAACACCTATAAATACCAAGCACATACCTTTTCAAAAGAAAAGCCAACATCCTGCAGTATCTACACTCAGGTCGAAAACTTTTAGAAGTCCACGGTGGTGCTGCTGAACTCAGGCTTGCACAGAGTGAATGTGTGACACATTGATGTGAACATGTCAGAAGCCATGAGAGCGGACTCAACAACAGATGCGACAGGTCGATGCGTGAATGAACACGCACACACAGGTACGTACAACTTGACAGAGAACACGACTTTACCTTACTGCTCGCCCATTCAAAACTCACTAGCTAGACTAGAACAAAAGCATAAAACCAACAAAAAAACACAGCAAACTGTTCCAAAAACTCCACAATGTACATTATTTGTAGATACGATATCTCCTTTCAGAAATGACCTTATAAATAAAAATAAAAAAAATGTACAAACCAGCAACTTGAGATGCTGAATGTAAAAGCAAAGTATTAAAGTGGACCATCAACCAAAGATTCTTTTCTCAAAAGAAAATATTGCACAACTAAACATAAATAGATGGATCTGAAACCATGCGCTTTCTTTTTTTTGGGGGGGGGCATTACATGAAAAAAAAATGTTTTTTTTCAAAGAATATTCCAAGGAAAAAAGAATTTCAGGCAGTTGTAATTTTACTTTAAAAATGGCCTCACTTTCTATTTGCAATATTTTCAGAGAAAAATAATTGAATGAGAATTAAGTTGGAATATAACAAGAAAAAAAAACATTGTAATTTTGAGATTCCCATAAAAAAATAAGTCCGAATTTAAAGAATGATATTTGTTGAGGAAAAAAAAGTTCGAATTTGTATTAGTCTGAATTCTGTAGTATGAGAGACAAAGTAATTCATGTGGGGAATATTGACGTCAAAATTACAACTTCATTCTCATAAGAGTATTTATGAGAACAAAAATCTCACAAAAGATGACTTCTTTGTTTTAAATTTGAGGTGGTCCAATATGTCGTTTAAAAAAAAAAAAGTCAAACATAAGCTTTGTTGTGATGTAAAACACAAGCGTTGCAACAAACCATATTTAGATATTCGACTCACTGGCTTCATCCTTCATTGGTGTTGACTAAAAAGAAAAAAGAAATCTGCAAAAAGTTTTCCGTTTTTGCATTGAACAGCATTACAGCATTGAAACACAGTGGCAGAGTCCCCCAAGTCTCTTTACACACACGCACACACACACGGGAAAAAAAAATCAAGTTTCATTTGAGTATGACTGACTGATATGTCTATTGTGAAGAAATTGTGAGAGACACGTAGAAAAATATTCCCTGCACCTCGTTTAAGTGTGGTGTTTAAGATTTGAGGGTGGGCGATGGGGGCTGAGGGGGGTCAGGCCCCTCACTGAACACGCACTTCACAGAAGTGACAACAGGTGCCATGGCTGACGTCACAGCGACGTCAGTGCGAGAGTAATATCACAACTTAAGTCTCCCGAATGAAAGCGGTGCGTTAACAATATGGATGATGACACACACACACACACCCAAAAAAAAAAAAAAAAAAAAACGCAAACAATGGAAACAATTTACAATGTACAGTACGCATAACTTAATCCACGTTTCTCCATCCTTCAATTATGTATGTAAAAAAAAAAGAAAACAAGTAAAAAGATCTCAACGCCGGCAGTCACACCGGTTATAACGTGTGAACTGACAAGTCGCTAGAGGAATGACAGAGAGCAAAAATAAAAGCTGACCGTCCGCCAGTTTGCGTCACAAACACCCCCTCAAAGGAAAAACGCTGTCATATTGTAGTGAGTGTTGTACAGCAATGGATTTGAGGTGCCAGTAGTACCTGTGTGTGTGCTCTGGAGAAAATCAAATATCACCAGAGTGTGGTTTTCAAGTATTACTGCTGCTCCTTAAAAAAAAATAAAAATAAAAATCTTAATCAAACTGCACATTGACAGTTTCCTCTCTTGGTCGTCTAAAAGTGTCGAGTCGACTTACTAAAACAGCGTTTATTTGCATGATGGTTGCCAAAAGCGCAGCGCTGCATTCGCTGGCCTGGCAACCGCGACTCAAGTGGCAGCATCGTGTATTGCAGCGGTATCAGCTCTCTCCACTGACGTCGTCTCTGTGGACCCAGGGCATGTCACGGTTTCAAAAAAAAAAAAATACGGCAACTTCCTGAAAATCCCGTGCGGCAGGGCGCCGTCTCATTTGAGGCGTTGCGTAACGTTTGCCAAAGCCACCGCGAAGGCCTGCACGGCGGAAAAGGGATACTGAAAGTCCAGGATGTAGGCGTTGCCGTCGATGCGGCCGAATTGCATCACCTGCAAAAGAGCAAAAACGTTAGCGTCGCTAAAGGATCTCACAATTCCATATCTCCGTTTTCTGTACAGCTTGTTCTCAATAAAGATCCGGTGAGAAGTGTGAAGATCAGAAGTTCTATATTCAAAAGTCATTTGACACACAGTGATCTTTCTTACCTGCCTGCCCTCAAGTTCAATCTGAAAGTTCTTGGCAGACTCCTGCGTGACGCGACCCCCAAAGTCCAGCTGATACACCTGCGTGGCCTCATTCCACAGCGGCTGTTTGTTCGCCATGACATACACGAAGCCCTGGCTTCCCAGTCCTCGGTCCTCCTTCTCATTGGCCTTGCGACACTTCATCTCTTCCAACTCGCTGGCCGCCCTGAGGTTCCTCTTCGTCTTCCAGCCTTTCTTCCCGCTCTGGCACTGGTTGAGGAGCTCGTCCCCGCTGATGAAAAGCTCCGGCTCGCTATCCGAGCTGTCCTGGAACTCGCTGTTGGCGGTGGCCTTGCTCAGCTTCTTGGCCTTCAGCTGCTCCTTCGGTCCTTTCACTTTCTTCTTGTCCCTCCCTCCCAGCCGTGGACTGGAAATGAGGGCGTTAAAGTCCCCCAATGCCCTACCCTCCTTTTTGGACTTGCTCCCTTCAGCCAGAGGTGGCACATTGGCCTCCTCCGCCCTCCCGTCTGCCCTCTTGCGGTTCTTCTTGCTGAACTTCTCTGAGCGAGGGGGCACGGGGCTCTCAGCTAAGGACAGCACTTCCTGGAATCCTTCCCCGCTTTCTGCCATGGCTTCTTGTAGCCCTGCATGGTTCTGCAGTTCTGCGTGCGGTGGCGGTGGGGGTGGCGGTGGAAGAGGCGGGGGCGGTGGTGGTGAAAGAGCATTTTTGTCGACTGCCATATGGGAAGTTTTGGGAGGTAGGGGCACAGCAGGACTGGGATTAGGGGGGCACGAGTTATACGTACCCCACGGTGTGTGGAGGGCGATGGGAGGAACGGGCAGCCTGGTAGCGGGGTACATAGGTGGTACAGGGCAGCAGGCCAGGTTTGTTAGACTCGCAGGGTAACCGGCAGGTAAGACAATGGTTGCGTCCTGCTGTGAGAGAGAAACGGGGGCCACCACCTCTTTTGGGGAGGAACAGGGTCGGGGTGATGTTAGGATGGGCTGAAGCTGGCCTCCGGGGTAGGCAGTGACTGGGGGGTACTGGAGAGAAATTTGGTACCCGGCGGCAGCTTGAAAAGATGCGCTAGCGGGGGTCGTGGGCGACTTGGGAGACAGCACATAAGGCAGCCTGGACACATCCAAGTGTTGAGCCGGACTGAGGATAAGCGAGGGTGGCTTGTGGGGTCCCGGATAGCTGGCTGGGTTGAGCGTGGCGGTCCGTTCCTGAGGGACCCACACCTCCTCCGTGGCGGCGGGGTCCCACTGATAGGGAGGCGGGCGTTTCACGAGCAAGCCCGACGTCTCGTTTCCTCCTAAAGCCAAATGCCTGAGGGACTGATGGAGCGTTTCATCCTCAGTAAATGCCGAATTAACATAATCTACGCGCTCTCTGCCGCTGCCTCCTCCTGCCGTGGGTGCGGATCCTTCCAGGGAGTTGAGCAGGCTGTACGAGGACTGTGAAGCGTGAGGGGTAGCGCTGTTGGAGTGTACGATAACTGTGCTGTGCGGCGCTCCGTTCCCTGGCGGAAAATCTTGCCTGATGATGGTACCGCCTGCTATTCCGTTGGCGCTGCCTGGAGCCGTGACTCCTACGCTGGACCCGCTGCTACACTGACTGCAGGTGTATAAGGCTGTTTGCACCCTCTGCTGGTAGGAAGCCGCCAGCGCACTGTTATTTTTCGCTTTGGGGGGCAGCGGTCTGGGCGGCTCCATCGTCTGGGACACTTTGAGGGTGGCCTCGCGGCTATTCCTCCTGAGAGTGGCGTGGATGAGACCGCTATCCAGCTTCTGTCCTGGATTCCTGCCGGTATTCTGATTGGCCGGGTCTGGATATGGGGGAGGGTCTCCGCTCGGTATGGAATAGCGAGGTGCGGTCAGTCTGTTCAGGGTAGCGGAGCTGTACGGCAGCTGGATCTTCTTGCCTTCTGCCGAGGAGGATGAGGAGGTGACCCTGAGGGTGGCAGAGCTTCCAGGCCCCTGCAGGTTGTAGACATTTTGATTACAGACGAGACGGGTTCGAGGACGACAGACCTCCTCCACGTTCCCGCTGCTGTCAAAGGTGGTGATTCGCTCGTAGCCTAGTGGTGTGGGGTACTGGCCTTGTTGCTGACTTAGGGGATAAAGTTGGATATCCCCCTTCTTTGCACCGAGATCACCAGGAGGTGGCGTTCCAGAGGAGCCCCCGATTGTTCCCGATGAGGCGTTGGCAGCCACGCCGAGGTTCGGCACGGAAGCGGACGCTGCAGCCGCCGCCGCCACCGCAGCAGCCACCGTTCCAGGATAAGGAGGAGGGGGATTCATTTTACTTAGCTCCAGCGGCGCGCTGAACACCACCGTGTCCGCCTCGGCCAGCAAACGCGTCGTCTTTATTTTCAGAAGGGTCTCGTGTTCGCCCGCCGCTCCCTTTTCGACCAGCAGATCGGGCGGCGGGTGAGGGATCTGGATCTGCAGCGCCCCCGTTGGAAGCACGGCCGCACCCGAGGACTGCGCTGGCGACATGGAGGCAACGGGGATTTGAATTTGAAGCTGCTGCTGTTGCATCTGAAGCATTTGCTGCTGCTGTTGCATCTGAAGCATTTGTTGCTGCTGTTGGTGTTGCAGCTGCTGTTGCAGTATGTGCTGCTGGAGCTGTTGCTGATGATGTTGCTGTTGTTGCTGCTGCTGCATGTGTTGGAGCTGCTGCTGAAATTGCTGCTGCTGCTGCTGTAATTGTTGCTGCTGCAGCATCTGTTGTTGTTGTTGTTGTTGTTGTTGCTGAAGCTGCTGTTGATGGTGCTGTAGTTGCTGATGGTGTTGGAGTTGATGCAACTGCTGCTGCTGTTGCTGTTGTGAAGGCTGATGAGAGTGAGGGGCTCCCACAGTGAGGCGACTCATGTCCAGCCCTCCAAAGATGACCTGGCCGGGACTGGAGTATCTGGTGGGGACTGTGTACTGGGCTGCAAGAACGGCGTCTTGGCTTTGGTCGGAACCGGCGGCGGCGGCAGCTCCCGGGGATGTGGCTGTGGGGTTGGTTAGAACATCCAGCTGAACGTTTTGATTGGCTAGCAGGGACTGGACAAGGCCGATACTCTGGGCGGGGGACATGGCCTGGGCAGGACTGTGGATGGGGGCGATGGGGATGTTGACGGTGCAGGGCGGGTTGTCATCCGCGCCGCCGGCAGGGCCCGAGACGGGGAGGTCATCTTCGTCCTCGCTGAAGACGTTGGGACTGAAGACGGGCAGGTTGATGTACTCCATGGAGATCTTGCGCACCTCCGGCAGGTAGATTGTCATCTGCCTGGGCTGCAGGTGGAGGAGGCTGGTTTTGTAGATGACTGAGGGTGAGACGAAGGGAAAAATCAGAAGGTCAAGAAACGACGTCAATGTAAACAATTGAATTATTCAAGTTACAGTGTAAGCTTATTTTTTTATTATTATTATTCAAACGTGGCCCTCGAGCTCAAAAGTGTGTCCACTCCTGGCTCCCGGATTCCACGCAACCATGTTGTCACTCACACAAACATGTTGATCGATTACCTGCGCCAAGGTTGGTTGGCAAAAAAGCAGCAAGCCCGACAATCTTGAATTTTGTTCCCCAAATATTTGATGTAACCTGAGCAAGGTAGCTTTGCTGGAAGATTTGCATTAAAACACATTGGTCAGAAACGGTCATCCTTTAAAAATGGGTTGTGCAACTCAAAGGTGGCGAGTACCTGAGTGATGTCATCCAAAGGAAATTCTCTCCGTGTTAAACTGGGAGACCCAATGGAGGGTTTGCGTATGGGTAGACGTGGTGACCGGGAAACTTCCTGAGCGGCGCGAGACAGTTTGGGCGATTTCCTGGGATCGATGTTGATTCTGTTGGTAAAGGGACAAACTAAGTCTCTACAAAGAAGGTAGCAAATGGGAAAGGGAAAAAAGATGGCGTAAGCATGCAGTGAGGCACAAAACGTGTGTAGAACAATCCATTAGAACCAATTACGCAAAGAGAACCAGAGTTAGGGAACACAAACATTCAAAAAGGGAAAATAATGGTGTGGGATTGTTCACCTGGGAAGCTTGGGGGACTTACTGCCCCGGGATATTTTTGGAGACTTCTTGCCGACCCAGTCATCGCTGAGTTCGATATCACTCGAGTCCGAGCAGTTACAGCTGTCAATCATTGCTGATATCAGGCTATTGCCATATATCTCGTCTGAGAAGAGAGAAGGCATTGGAATAGTTCACAAAAACTTACATAAAAACTACTTTTTAAATTGTCCTCGCCTTACCTGTTTTTCCATCCATTTTAGGATCCATAATGACAAACTCTGGCCGCAATTTACTGATGCGTCGGCCTTTGAGGATGGGCACCAGACCGCCCAAGTACTCCAAGTACAGAGTGTAGCAGGGACCCCCCACCTCTGGGTTGTCTTCTGTACGCTTCATTGTACAATGCAGACGCTCATTGCCAGCTGTTGGGTAGCTCACAAAGTCGCGCATGTTGTTGGGGTCTGGAACGGGCTGCTGGGGGACAAGAGGAGTAGAAATCAGGTTTTGTCGTCATTCTGATTATTTGTCAGTGTCTGGACATTCTGTCTTACCCTGACGGTGGGGTTAAAAGCGGACGTGACGTAGGAGCAGAGGCGTGACGGCATGGTGAGCTTGGCCACGTCCTTCTCCTCCTTCACGGCCGTGGCGATGACCTGCTGGCAGAGGAGCTGCAGGCTGGCGACACGGTGCTCCACGCGCACCACGTAGAGCGCCGGGCCGCACGCCAGGAAAAGACGGGAGTCCCGGTGGCCCCAGCAGAGGGTGGTGATGGGGCGCTGCCAGGGAAACAGACGAGTTGGACCGAGTATGCCCAGCAAGTGGAAAACATGAGCTTCCTTATTTTTTTTTGGAGTGTATAACCAATAAATGCTTGGCCTAATGAAAATCAAGTATACCCAAGTAGCGCGTTGGTTCCCTTTTTGATCCTAAAATCATTCATCCGTCTATTTTATATCGCGCTTGTTCACCTTAGTCGTTCACAGGAGCTGAAAGAATTTTAAAAATGTTTGGGAATCTGAGAAGGTGCTTGAATTTAACAATGTTGCAAGGTCAGAAAAGACGATATGTCCACCCTTGGAAGGAAAACACGAGCTTCCTTATTTTTTTTTGCAGTGTATAACCAATAAATGCTCGGCCTAATGAAAATCAAGTACACCCCAAGTAGCGCGTTGGTTCCCTTTTTGATCCAAAAATCATTCATCCGTCTATTTTATATCGCGCTTGTTCACATTAGTCGTTCACAGGAGCTGAAAGCATTTTAAAAATGTTTGGGAATCTGAGAAGGTGCAAGGTCAGAAAAGACGATATGTCCACCCTTGGATCACAACTTCCTGTACGTCACTTAAATGTGTCGGAAATGTGGACTGAAACAAGCTCATTACAGAAAACGACCCGAGGCCAAGAGTCGGGAAAAAAAAAAGATTCTTTGTCTTCATTTTCTTTTCGTAAGACATAAAAAAACACATCCCACACACGAGGGTTATATTGCCCCGCTTTTGGAGTCCATCCCAGCGAGCTTTGCTGCGATGTACACCTTGGGACTGGTCACTAGCCAATTGCAATGCACGCATAAAACCTCAGAACTGTGAGGTAGAGGTCCTCCATGCTACCCATGCTCAAAAATGAAAGATAATCACCTGCGCTGGTGTTTCCAGTGTGTAAATGTGCTCTCCCCGGATGTTATAGAACTTGGCAACGGCGTTCCTGGCAGGAGGAGGACAAGAGGGGTCGTGGGAGAGAGGCGTCTTCTCCATGCCGGCCACTGACAGAAGGTCCCCCTGCGAGCACCATTGGGCGACCACGTCTGTGGAAAAGGATGGAAAAAGTGATGAGATGAACAGGGGGCGAGGGGAAAAAAAAAAACGTGGGTTGATTTACCTTTCAGGCCGGTGCGGATAAGGGTGGGCGAGAGGTCATCGTAGTTGTTCATCAGGCTAATGTCTCCCGAGGTGAAGCTGACTGTCAGCAAAGGTTTGTGGCTGTGCGCTGTATGTAATGAGAGAGAAAAGAAACGATGTGCAGTTTCGAAACAATCAAGATAATACTCTGCTGGCAGTACAATATTTTCCAGACGAAACAAATGACTTTGGTGCGGTCCAAGAATGGCCTTTAAATGAAGCCATTTGTAAAAATTTAAAAAAACTGGCAGTACAATAGAAATGCAGTGCATTAGACAGTACCGCGCACAAACACTGATAGAGTGATCAGTGCAATATGAGCATTCGGAGGCGCTGACGGGAGACGGGGGGGAGGGAAATGAGAAGCTCACAGATGGCGGCGCATCTGCTTTCCTCCAGCCCGTAAATAAAACAGCTGGACGACAGTACCTCGGCGGACACGGCATGAGATTGTGGAGCTGGCGAACCTTGCAGTGGGGGGTAGTCGTCCGAATCTGTGTCGCAGAGTGATCAGTGCAATATGAGTATTTGGAGGCGCTGACGGGAGACGGGGGGAAGGAAATGAGAAGCTCACAGATGGCGGCGCATCTGCTTTCCTCCGGCCCGTAAATAAAACAGCTGGACGACGGTACATCGGCGGACACGGCATGCGATTGTGGAGCCGGCGAACCTTGCAGTGGGGGGTAGTCGTCCGAATCTGTGTCGCTCTCACTGCTGTCCTCCACCAGGAAGCTGGGGTAGTTCCACGACATGCTGACGATGCCGTCCGACTCGTGCAGCAGAATGTGGGCCAGCATGCGCCCGTGGCAGTCCATCACGATCACCTGTCCGTCGGCGGTGCCAAACAAAACCTGCACGGGGACAGGAAAACGTTAGAATAGGAACCTAGGGGGTGAATCGCAGGAAGAAAGAAGTGTGGGGACCTGCTGGTCATCAGGTGTCCAAATACCGCAGGTGATCTGACTCTCCAGGTTGATCTCGGACGACCAGTGTCTCTGCCCGCTGACGGACCCCACCAGCACAAAGCCGTCGCGGTAGGAGATGAGCGCCTGGGTGCCGTCGTGCGACCACGTGAAGTCACTCACCTGCAGTTTACAAAGTCTTCGGTTTACGATACTCACGACATACGAGGTTTCAGCTCACTAGCGTACTTCACATGATTTCTACAACTCGAACCTGAGCTCCGCGGTCGTTGACCAGCTCCACGGACCAGCGGCCCTCGTACTGGATCCAAACAAAGATGCCGCCATCGGTATCGCAGGTGGCCAGTTTCTGGAAGGGCTCGTTCCATCGCACCAGGACCACCTTTAAGAGACGAGCGTATGTCATCGTGAATGAGGCGGGCTTTGAGGACGCAAAGCCGCAACACTTCCATGCTGATTCAGGAGGTTCCGTTGACTCTTTCAAACGGCTTGCGAACGTCCCGCTGCGGTGAGCCGCCAGGGGTTACGTTAGCGTTGAGCTAAGTTTAGCAGTGAACCAAATGCAGCATATCATTAAGTGGGTTAACCTCTTTTTGAAAACTCCTCGGAGGAGCTGTAATTATCAGATGTATTACACACGATTGAGGCTGAACATTTTGTGACGGAAATAGAAGTCGTTTGATGTCAAGTACGTCAATCGAGAGTACAGGGATATAAAGCAAACACGAGGTAATAATTTTTCATCGGGGGAAAAAAGAAACGGCTCACTGGCTTTTAATGAAGGGAAATAACGTTGATCGTTGCCGTGGCAACAACAGGCCGCCTCCTTTGGGAGGTGGACCGGCCAGGACACCGGCCAATGTCACTGTTCAGAGTATAGAAATTCGAGCACGCTAAAATGAGTTGACAATGCAGCTTCCTAATATGAGCGGAAAAAAAATTATCATGTATTGGTCGATTTACTATGAATCTAAAGAAGCCCTGCAGAACGAAACTGTGCCAAATTGAGTTCCATCCATGCAGATATTTTCAAATTGAATGAAAACAACTGAAAGAATCCAATTGATCATTTTCTCCCTCCTCCAAAATAAGAGAAAGTACACGGCCACTAGCTGAAATGACGCATCGTGCACTGATTATAGGAATCATCATCACAGAGATGATCAACACAAGATGCTGATCGCGGGCACAGAGCAGCAAGGAGCATTTTGTGTCACCTGAAAAGAACCCATCGCTACTCCCAAGCTCTTCCCTCTATTTTTTTTTTTTTGCATACGTGTGCGCGTGTATGCGTGTGTGTCTCACTATCTACTTGTTCTTCTGTAGCGTGACTCAGCCTATTCCCAGGGGAATAATCCTAAACAGGGAGCAGCGCCGCTCTCACTCAGCGAAGCACGTGGGCCGTACACGCTCCAGGGCACAACATGAGGCACGTTTTAGCCGGGCTTACACTTTCCGAGCGTGAATCCGACAACGACTAACCTTTTTGATAAGATAGACTGGGGCCTTGCTTCCCGCCCTGCTACGACCCCAACACAGAACTACCACGTCACTACTGACAAACACACCCTGATCTATTCGTGGACCAGATAAAAACCTGCAGCATTCCCAGGAAATTAAAAAAAAAAAAATTAAATACCATCACCGCTGAGCTATTTTTTGAACAGACCTCCAGCATACTAATGTGGTCCTTGGCGATGACGTGGCGCCCCACATGTTGGTGGCCCTCCGCTATACTGCCCATGGTTGTCTTAATACACCCTGTGATTGACTGCCAACAGGTCCAAGCCCCCCCCCCCCAAAAAAAAAACAGCAGACCGACAACCCCCAGAACACTATAAAAAGCCAAATACAATTTTCGAGATAACTGGAAAAAAAAATCCAAATGTTTCCTAATACATAATGCAGTGTTTTGGAATCATATTAATTTTGCATCATTCTGTTGCCACACAAGCGCCGTAAACGAGCATCAATTGTGCTTCGGTGGAGCTTTGTGCTCCACCTTTTTGCGTTGCACTGGCGTCAACCCCACCACATGGGTATTGTTTAATGAGGATAAAGATTGGGACTGTGCGACGCTGATTAACTCTTAGGAGGGTTCCAGAGGATTACGCTCCATTGCTGCAAAGGGATGACACGTCATGAAGATGTGCGCATGCACAAAAGTAGAATCACGTCTGAATCGTAATCAACCACCAAGTCAACTGAAATATTTTCAAACAAACGTGCATGTACAACATAAATGCATTGTTAGTGAGATGATTTGCCATAAAACTGTTTTTTTAAAAAAATGCAGCAACAATATCAGGCAGGTTAAACGCCAAACAAGAGGTAAAAAAAAAAGAGGCACCATGTGCACACATGTCGTGTCCCGCACCACGGTCTGCGTCGGGGTGAGAATAATCTGCGCATGTGAGTGTAAATTTAGCAGGGTGTGGAGATTAGTGCGAGCTGGTCAGGCATCCCGCGGGGGGAGACAGCTGAGCACCTCGCCGTGACGCAGCGAGCCAGGAGAGATCAGACGTCACATGGAGACAGACGTGATCAGGAGAAGACGCCGCAGGACACTGAGGGGATGGCGGCGATCGTGGGCAGAAAATCCAGTCGACAAATGAGTGGCAATTATCCTTGGCGTCATGATTAGAAAGGTGAGAATTAACAACGTGTAAAATTCGATGCCAAGGTTGTAAGCGTGTCACGGAGCCTGGAAATGTTTTATAAACTCCAACACAGTGGATCCTCCCACGTGTTTTGCTTTTTCTTTGGCTGTTGTGAAAAAACAGCAACGGGGTTAATGTGAATGCCACATTTTTACAGTTCAAAAGATTTAGATGAGACAGTGGAAACTCAGTTGTGATTGATTCGTTCCCAAAATGTCTGAACTAAAGTGAATCAAACTAAATCCAAAGCAATACTTTCCATAGGAAATCATGTAAATTCATATAGTCCGTTGCAGACACCCAAATACAGCACAAATAAAATGATATTTTATATTTAGAGAACAACGATTAATATTTCACCACATTTGATTTGGCCCAATGATGGAGGTTCAACTGGTTATTTAGTCCTTCTGAACCAAAATTTTAGAAAAAGACAAGCCAGGTCTCTGATCCCTGAAATGACTGGCCCGCTGTTTACCAATTAATAAATATATTTCCCACTTTGGAAAGCTGCCATTGTCTTTCATGTGTGTGGTGCCACTTGTCAAAGCGTTCCGTCTCAGAGCGGGCCGCTAAGCTGACCCCAGCAAGTTAAAAAATAAATAAAAAAAGAGGCCAAATCAAATCAAGGGGCACCTTTGGCGGTTACGGTGCACTCAGCAGAAGTGAAAGGACATTGGGAAGGTGCAGCATCACAGAGGCAAGAGCACACAGGTCCATAGCAACAATGAATGCTGGCATGGAGACCTTTGTTTTTGCCAAAAGAAATTAATAGTTCTGGTCCGTGGAGAGAAACTGCACTTTCTTTCAAAAAAAAAAAAAAATCAATATCAAGATTGTTTCGCCGCCATTTTACAACAACCAAGTGCTCGCTTGGATAAGAGGGGATTTATTTGGGTTTTTACAATCAAACCCCATTGTGAGCCGATTGGAAATCTTCATTCATGATTGGAAAGTGAAGACCAGCTGGCTCAGGAGCAAACGGCAGGGAAGGTCTGAGACCGCTGATTACGATGAGATATTAAATCACGTGCTTAACTCAACAGAAGAGAACTGCTGTGCTGTTAGGAAAAAAAAAGAAGAAGAGAGCGAGGTTGGAGTGATGCACGATGTAAGACAAAGGGCAACGGGTACAGGCTTCATGGTACACTAGCCAGGGCAGAGCACAGGGCACAATCCTACTCATCATTACCTTGTTTTGAGGGTTTCGTGCCAATGTGGGAAAACCCAATTTGCCTTTGCACTACATCGTATCCCGATCATGTCATTGAGCAATGAAAATGCGCCATGATGCTGAGTTTATAGTGCACTTGCATTTAAATCCAAACGAGTGCCCAAACTATGAAAATCTGCAAAAGAAAATTGCCTCGAGTATCTTCCACGGAAAGTATTTGGGAGCAAACCAAGAAGACCTGGGCCTGACACGGCAGCCGAGCTCGTTATGCAACGTGTGCCCTCCGCGGATGGATTAGCGACGGTGATGCCCTTCCTGTTAAACGTGTCGCAGGGGTCAAGTGGTTAGACAGGTAGAAAGCACGTGAAGCGCACGGGAGAACTCCTCTGCGGAACGCAACGAAAGGACTTTGTGCGCGTAATCCAATTCCAAGTGAAGCATTTTTAACAGAACGAGACAGAAGAAAAGCACTGATGTATTTTCCTGAAGACAAATCCATGGTCAGTCAGACCTGCTGAAATCAGGTTGCTTGGCCAACTTGGTGCCATGTTGAAGTCAGTTAAGGTCATGAAGTCAAGTCGTGCTTCGCCACCATTTCATGGCATCTGGAGCAATTACAAACCATTTGGGTGTGGGTGAATTTCAAATAGGTTGACTATTCACAGCAGCATTGAGTCCTTAACGCCCACAGGGGGTTCACTCTACTGTCAGCGTTCTGAATTGTTTAATATCCTAATTGTTTTGACTAATCGGCGAGTTGCGCGCTGATGAAGCTTCCAACAGCCCGCCGACAAAGCCCACGGTGGAAACGCAGGCCTATTCCGGGGTGACTAATCCCAACTGAAACGAATTGTGTCGTTTTAATCGACTTGATAGATAAAACGCGTCGGTGCGGTGTCTATTTTTGCTTGAAAGGAGAATAGCATGCCGCCAGACAACTCTGCGTGACGGTCCACAATGGCGTTGTCAAACTACTCTCGCGTATATTCAACGCTCATTTCGAATGAAGAGACGTTTTCATGAGATGGGGGGGGCAAGAATTCTTGTCAAACGACGTGTTGATCTATTTTTAATCATATCCCAGAGGGGATTATTCTGCAGCATTCAAAGTAAAAGGCGTACAAAAATATTCCCATCTTATGTTTTTCAAGCGTGCTACAATAGACAAGAGGTCAGAAGGAGGCGGCGGCGGCGCAAGTTAGCAGGCGCTCATTAGACTTGACAGAAAGAAAATGTGCGGCTTTCCGTTTCTCCCTGTTGACCGTCGGTCTGGTTGAAATCTCGGTCCAATTTCAGTGGCGCTCCCTTTTCAACGGCTTCCCCTTCTAATTATCTCTGACCCTGACAGAAGGGGAATCAAGACACAGGAGCAAGAAGGGACTAGTCCAAGATCACAAACCTCCAACTGGGGAAGCAGTGCTGAGTAACACTACACGGCCATGTTGCCTCGAAAGATAATGGTGGTGTTCATAAGAAAAATGCGCACTAAGAGTACTGTCCAGGCAAATGAGTTTATATACCTTAAGTGATTAGATTTGCATCTACACAAAAAACAATTTAACCAAGAAAACATCTTCCATCTTACCTCACTGTTGTGCCCTCTGAGGTTGAAGTTGACCCTCTGTGGAGTTGGCCGGTCCCGCCTGCAGTGACTGGATGTAAACGTGACGCCGACGACACCTCGGCCGTTCCCGGTGGCCAGCCAGCCCTCTTCATAGTAGCGCTTCCGGCACACTGGCTTCTCCTTCTCGCTCTTGGGCACGCGGCCTTTCCAGGACAGGCACAGGATGTTGGAGTCGCTGCAGAGGACGGGGCCGTGTTCCACCGAGGCGAACATCCCTGCGTCATATGAGGAGAAGCTACCAGAGGGGGCTTGTGGGTTGGGGGGGGACGATGCTCCCTTCAGGAGTCCTGTGCTGAGGTTACGGGTTCAATGATGAGTGTGAGACAGCAATGGTGCATAGTATATGTGAGTTCCTGGACATCAGTGAAAACCTCTGCGAGGGTCCGGATAATGTCAGAAAAGTTGGAAAATCCGTGTTGGGAAGGCACTTGTCATGACTGAACATCCAGGATGAAACGCATGTAAACCACGAACGAGTCCGCTCAGCATGTCCTGCAGCTCATGCTCGATCCCGGCGCTGCTTGAGTGTCGCCGCCGCCGCGCTGCGTCCTCATCATCCGATCCTGGCAGCAAGTGTGAGAGGAGGAGGAGGAGCAGGGACTCCTCTCCATCAGCTGTAGCCCCGCAGGAGCACCGCCCCTCCCAGTAATGTCATAACGCCAGCAAACCTTGGGCATCCCACTGTGGCCGGCCAAAGGAAAAACAGACAACAATCACAGCTCCACTTAGCAAAGCTCATCAATAAACACTGACGTTTGCTTTCACATGATAAGAGTAATATTCTTATCAGAACTCTTAACTTAAAGTATGTTTCCTGGAAAAGAAAGTGAGCCCATTGAATTTACATGCACGACATGGCGCATGGTCAGGATGGTACCATCTCTGCCTCAATTTAAACCAGGAAAAAAAAAACGCAAACCAAGAACGTCCTGTCCATTAGGAGATGAATAGATTATTGAATAATAGGAATGTTAAAAGCCAAACTCCATCCGGGTACATCTGCAAATAAATATTAATGTACTGGCCTAAATTACCCCCTCATTATCCCCTTACTACTAATAGCACGTTCTAGTTCCATGACTATTCTTCGCCGGCGCAGGGATTTCTAACGACTTCATAAATAATTGAACAAGAATGTAATATCATTTTGGGTTCTGCTTTAATTAGCACACGCTGATGGAACGAGATAGCCCATTCGCGTCCAAACACACGAGGTAAACAAAGTGGGAATAATAATAGTGTAAAATAAAATAGTAAACATGTGTACTGATGTTACCAAAAAAAAAAAAATCTATAACAGCCCTATCATCATGATAGGGAAATTGTATCACCGTGTGGAGCGATACGACATTCGCGTTGAAATGATGCTAGGTTGAGGTAACTCCCTGTGAGCTCTGAGCATCAAAACGTCGCCATCAAACAAAAACCCCACATCGACGTTTTTTCCCGTCTGCTTTTCATGTCTTTAAATTGTGCTGGCGCGACAGATGAACGCGTTTTTCACTGTTATTATAATTTAAAAAAAGAAACAGATAAAGAGAAAGCGAAAGAAAGAAAGAGAGAGAGAGAGAGAGAGAGAGAGAGAGAGAGAGAGAGAGAGAGAGAGAGAGAGAGAGAGAGAGAGACCGCGAACCATCAGTTAACTTTGGCTGATCCAGAACCAGCCAAGGCGGCGACCAGGGGCTGTTCATCCACTGCTAGAACTGCTCGCTATCCGGCTACTGCTAGCATGACCAGTCGGCTACTCGTATCGCGTTTTTTAAACCCATGCCCTGTCGCTGCTTTTACCTAATTTACCCATGAGTAGAATGTCATGCATTGTGATTGATATTTTGTGTATCAAATGCAGAGTGGAGGTAGCCCGGCAATGATGTGGGAAGCTTACCTCGGGTGTTGTCGCTATTCCCTGCTCGGTGTGTGTGTGAGACGAACCGGAGATCTGCTGGAACTGGCAACAGGGCCTAGACGGAGGGGGTCACGTGATGGTCACATGATGCTCGCTTGTCACGTTCAAACCTCGTTTGAATCGTCGATGTCAAAGCACGAAAATGAAGCACGTTCAAAATGTCATCCATGTGGTCATACAAATACATTTGGATTAAAAATATGTATGTTTTTTTTTATAGCTCTCCGGATGATTTTTTTTCCCAGTTACCGCGCACGTAATTTGGTAATTACATCTGTTGGTGTTATGTACATTCCAGGTCACACGGGGGCAGCGGTACGATACATAGCACTTCCGGTTTCGAGTCCTGCTCTGGGAATATGGCCGCTTCCATGCCGTTTCGAAGAGAACTTTTTTCTTTGACAAGGATATTCAACGGAATATCACAATCGGTAATGTGTGTGCGTCTGTGTGTGTGTGTGTGTTTTTAATATTTGTTGTTATACATACAAGTGTATAATCACGACATTGCATGGACGAAATGTACTGCGCTGGTGTCCTCTTTGCACCCTTGCGTCTGCTAATTTTTGCATGTTTTACAGAGACCACGAGTTTTGGGCCATTGTGCAGGACACAAGAAATGGCTTACAATTGGGTATGTAACATGTTTCCACTGCACACTAGTAAATCGTAAACTTTCACTTATTCAACAAAGAATCAATATATTTGGGCTTCTAACTATGCCGGCTATGTAGATTGGCATGCAGAACAATTAAATGCAATTTTTTGCATTCAAATCTCTGCAGGTCTCCCCTCTATCTGAGCCCATCCTTCCACATACCCAGGGTGTTTTCATCAACAGCGTCGTCAGTGAGTTGTTATCACAATCACCCCACCACTAAAACATCAGCATCACTTTACCCAGGAAGCCATTCTCACATTTCCCTTTTAGATCACTGTGACAGAAGAACCCGACACGCTTTTCCAGAAGGTGACTGTGATGGTAAAAGGCCACGACAGGGCCGTTTTGGACAGTTATGAGTATTTCGCCACCATGGCGGCCAAAGAGCTTGGCATCAGCATCGGAAAAGTGTGAGTTTTGGTAATCTGTGGCAGACACATTTTCTGTCTCTTCTATGGATATTCCACAAAGTTGCAGCAACACGGCATACTGCAAATCAATAAATAAAAATAAAGACACACACATCACAGAAGTCTTGGTGTACTGTTAGGGCTATGTGGTGGCAATTGTTCAGGGTTTGCAGTCATTCTGTATACATGCTCCTCTGCTGCAGTTTTGAACCTCCCAAAGACATGGAGAGGTTAACCCTCCTCAAGTCGGTCCACATCTTCAAAAAACATAGGGTTCAGTACGAGATGAGGACACACTACAGGTGTATCGAGGTGTGATTTTTGTATTTACATATCAGATTGAATGGTGGATAACTATATAAGTTCGCAATTAAAAAAAAAAAGTGACAAAGAATTTGTCTTTGTAGTTGTCTCATTTAACAGGCTCCACAGCTCGGGTATATTTGGAATACATCCAGAGGAACCTTCCAGAAAGTGTAGCTATGCAGGTGACCAAGGTGAGTCGAGCTCTTGCTGTATGCTTGAACCACAGGGGTGTTCACAAGCCTCATCATTTCATTTTTTGTTATCAGACTGCTATAGAGAAAATTCCAGAACACATCCATGAGCCCATGTGGAAGGACGAGCCCACGGAGGAAGCGGAGAAGCCAAGTCAATAAAATGTACACCTGCACTGGTCACCAGCCAATTGCAGGGCACATACTGTATAGATGAACAAGCTTTCCGAGGCCAATGGGCTAACCGCTAGCCCATCATGCCGATGGACAATATTATCAATAACTGTCATATTTGTGTCTTATTTTATAAAAAAAAAAAAAAAAAGTAAATGGTTTCAACAAAACATGATTGGAGATTGTTCTTTGTGGCTGGGTATTTTGGCATTATGATTGGATTGGATTTGAAGGGAAGTCCAATTATAATTCTCAACGTGAGAGCTGAAGTTCACCAATTTAACCTGCGAATTTAGAGTACAACAATATTATAGACAAAATAGAATTTACGTCAATCATCAATTTATTTTTTTTTCAGCAAGACAAATGCACTGATAGCTATGAACGGACACCTTTGTAGCTACTTCTTTCCAAAATCGTTCACACGAATAAAATGAGATAGATTATACGAATAAAAACGATTACAAAATGTCACCAAATGATTTCTCTAATACCAGTGTCAACAATTGTATCCCCATATACAAAACAATAAGCGGCCTCTCAAAAATATTTACATCCAGGAAAGAGCAAAGCCACGTCATGAATTCAAACACACTTATCAACATGTAAAGCAGTTATCCTAAAAAAAAAAGGAAAAAGATAAAAAAATAAGTCCAAATACGAGCATGGTCTCGTTACGCGCGGGTGCGTAAAATGGTGACTTTTACGCACGGTTCAGAATGTCCGAGAGCTTGTTGATATACTCGATGGTGTACTTGAGGGTTTGTATTTTGGTCAGAGGCTGGCCCCTCGTGGTGTAGTCCGGCGGCAGGTAATCCCGGAGTTGGTGCAGAGCTTCGGCGAGACTCCTCATCCTCATCTTCTCCCTCTCGCTCGCCTTAACGCGCCTCTTGGTGGACATCTTGGCCTTGCCGTGCGTCCTGGGCGCCTTGGGGCCGGTGCAGCGAGCCCGCTCCGGAGAGCCGTAGGCGAGCTCGCGGTGATCTCCGGAGTAGAACATCTCCGGCGAGGAGCACACGGAATCCACAGAGGAAGAAGAATGAGACTCCGGAGAGGAGCCGGAGGAGTGGAGCTGTTCCCCGACCTTCCATTCGTTTAGGATTTCGGACGTTGCACCATCAAGGTCCATGTTGAGGAAAATCAGCATCCAGAGATGATGACAAGCAGACGAGTTTCTCGGAGGAGATGACGTTTTTATATGCGGGGCGCATCTCCGGAGCTTTACGGGTTCACAGCTGAGGCGGAGAAAAAAAAAACGAGTTCAAAGCGAAGCACAAGTGGCAAAATGCGACCTTCGCGGAGGACGTCGTTCGTTCTCACCGAGGTGCGAATAAGGCTAAATGGGCGGATAATGCGACAGAAAGACAAATAATTAGATTCCCTTTGTGGGAGATGAGCCTTTAAAGTCTGTGGGGCGACAATTATCAGTTTGATGTGATCTGCCTAATGAAGGGGCAGGCCCGCACAGGACCCCCAGAACATTTGCAGGCCAAACTTTCAAAGCGGTGTTTTTGCTCTAATTAAAACGATAGAAATTGAAATAAAATGAGAAAAACGGTACAAATAACTGTGTCAGAGTTTTTTATTGTGTGTGTGTGTTTTTTTTTCCGAGCATAATAATGTAACCATGATTTAAAAATAAAACATTTTGCAGGAAAAAAAGATCCGACAGCAGGCATAAAATGGTTTATTAATTGATTAAAAAGTCAAAATAACTGCATTCCACCTATTCATTTATGAATGCAGCTGTACAAACATCATACAAAAAAAAAATAAGGACAACTATGCAACACATAAACAGAAGGTAAAATTGAAAAAAGTAAACTAATACATTGAAAATGTCTATTAATAATTTAAATGTGGAAAATTATACAGTTGTATTAATGAAACAATAAACTTATGGCACTTCTATCAACGCTGCTTAAGCTAACCCAAATACATAAAATGCTACCCGAAAAGGGCACGATGGAAAAATAAGTTAAAAAATACACACACACACACACACACACATACATCATTTCAAATATGCTGCTTTATGAAGAGCTGTAAAGCTATAATGCAAAAAAAAAATGTAATTACATAAGATATGTATGGCCTTCATTAAATCCTATTTTCCAATGTTAATTTGTATTTGTATAGAACTGTGCAACATAGTGAAAGCTGTTCTTAATATGTTGTCACACTCATCCGCACATGTTGCAAAAGTCACTTACTCCTAAATTCATCTGACAGCACACCGGCATTTGTTTTGTGTTTTTTTTTCTGTCCGCCACCAGAGAACCGCTCATTTCTTCAAGCACTTTGGTTGTTTTAAGGGTTTTATTCCGACAACGAATCCATGCAAATAAGAATCTGGCTGGACGCAAGCTGGCGAAGAGGAGTTCTTTGGCCGAGAGGATGCAGCTGTCACCAAGCTCATGCCAGACCTTTTCATGTCTGAAAAGGTGTTTAAGGCCTCACTCATGATCAAGGGGGCCGACAGCGAAGGGCTGTAAAACCAACAGCTTGCAGTTCTCTAAAGGAACCTGTGTGTTTAAATAACACTTATCATACATAAAAACTGGATTCCTGTTTTTAAAGTTGCTCCAAATTATTGTGAGTCAAGATTTGAACCCAAAACCTCCCAAATGCAAGGCAGACGTGAAAACCACTACGACCCTAGTGTTTGCTTTCGTTTTTTAATTATTTTTATTTATTGATAGTTGGGCAGCACATCTACCTCACAGTTCATCATCATGTCATGATAACTTTCGACTGAGTTCTAAATCTTTCACGTCCTGCTTCTCACTTGAGGAACTTGAGCCTAAGTCTCTCGACCAGCGGCAAAGGGCTGTCCCCGCAAATGACGGATTCGTCGCTATCTAACCCACTGATGGGGGACGCCAGGATGGGCGGGGACACGTCATTCATATCGGCTTCTGCCTGCTGGGTTTGGCATTGAAGTTTTGCGACGTGATCTCCACTTGGCGCACTTTGAAAAAAGGATTGGACACTCTCACTGGTGGTTTTCGGTGGTCCACAAACGGGCTTCCGCGGGTGATCTAACAGGAGCCGTCCACTGGGCTTGCTCTTGGTGACTTGGCGAGGCCCGATCTGCCGGTTCTCCGCATCACTATCCTCGCTGGATGAACACACGCTCACGCACACGCTCTTCTTGACGGCCACGGTTCTGTCTTTGTCCACCTGAGACGGCTCAGAGAGGCACCGTTGCACTTTTGCGGCTGCTGTTCTGACAAATTTGTATTTGGAGGCAGGCTTTTTGTCCGCCTTTGTCTGGCTCGGAGTTGCCTCACCTGACATTTTGAGACCGCCGTTGTCTCTATGAGAGCTTGCTACGGGTTTTAAAATTGGCGCAAGGAGGTTTAGTTTTTTGGAGACATCCTCATTTGCTGCTTGCACCCGCGGGGTGGCCGTGAAGGACGACTCGTCCCAGTCAATGTCGCTAAGACGAAGGGCGTCGATAGCGGCCGGTGAGGAATCCGCCTGAGAGAGTGGCGTACTGGGACGCTTTTCAGTGAGTCGCTGACGCGGTTTATGGCTGATGGGTGTGTCCAAAAGCACCACTTCCTGTAAGTTTGGAAGAACAGCTGGCCATGTTTGGGCGTTCGCTTTTTCCGAAGAGGAGCTCTCGAGGGTCATCTGCGCGAGGAGGTCCGAGACACCATCGGCTTTGTCAGCCATCTTCTCTTTTTTACTCTTTGGTTTCCTCTCTGAAAGAGGCACAGAGACTCAATGTGAGCACCAATGACAAAACTAGGACATCTTAACTTTATTTGGGGTTCAGCGGGGGGCCCCTTAAATGGTGGCAGGTGTGTGCTGACTCCCATTGATCAGGAACTTGAATGTGATTGGTGAGATATCATAATAATTGTGGAAAAAGTTCATTTTATTTATTTTTTTTTAATCACACAAAAAAGGGGTTTGAATAGGGGTATGTAGACTTTATATCCATTACAGTGAGTTCTAAAAGTAAAAGGGAAAATTCCATTTTCATGACTTTTCCTTACAGATAATTCTCCCTCTCTACGACTACTTTTCCTGCGCTTCCGATGTCAATGTGGGACGTCAGGGCTCCTCCATAGGAGGAAGCGGAAATCCTCTGCTCATGTTAAAGCGCAAGGTGAAGCACAACCCTGACGGAGAGAGACACAGAGACACCTCGCGGCTCCATCTGAGTCTTTGATGTGTGTCGGCCAAAGCTGTCAAACTAACATGTTCGGGTGTCGGAGCGGCCGTAACGGCCTCGCTTGCAAAAACAAGCCGACGCTCCCCGTGTGCCTTTGATCGTCATGGGAACAACTTGGCACGTCTGGGTACGGAGATGGTGGGCGGAGCTCTTGGGGACACACGTAATCGATGGAGAAAAAAAAATCCAGCCATTTTCTAATTTGCTTATCGTCTGTCTTTAGGACACCCCGAACCGTTTGCCAGCCAATCGTAGGGCACACACAGACCGACAACCATTCGCCTTCACAACCACATCGAGGGACAATTTCGAGTGTTCCACGTATCAAACGTATCAAGCAATATTTGGCCGAAAGGATGTCGTTTGAACACCAGTGTTGTCTTACTCTTCGTTTTGTTCTCTTCAGCCAACGCTTTGTCCCTCAGGTAGCTCCCCACCACCTCTGGGAAGGCCACACGGAAAAGGCTCTCCTCCTCCACCGACCTCACCTGGTGCCGATCCTCGGCAGGCCAATCCTCCGGAAACACGTAATGATCTGCGAGGGACAAAAAGGGGCAATTTTATTTCAACACCTTACTTAAAATGAAAGTGAGATTTTTTTTTTTTTTATTGTGTTCTTGAATATTTTGGGGTATCATTTTTCACAAATTCATATTTTTTTCCAAGTTCGAATGCAATGTGATAAACAATGGAAATTACGTCACCGCGATCCAGTTACAGAAAACAGAATCCAACTTCTATGAGTGTTAAAAAAAAAAAACATATTCTTAATATTAGTATTGATGAGGGTTGAACATCAGAATGTCAGGACAAAAGCTTTACAATAAGCGTATGCACATCAAAATGCATTTTAGAATAATACATTGGAAAAATAGTTAAAATAAAATAAACAATCATATGAACACAAATTAAATTTTTTAAATTATTTTTTTTGAGGGGTGTGGCATTATCTTATTTTGCACACCTTTTCAGGTTGAAATGGTAAGAAGAGGGGCTTGTTAATATGACAGATTGCCCAGGACGGGGAGGAAGCCAATTTAGCACCTAGCGGCTGTTGTGAGGGATCTGCCACCTCTGAAGCGCACCTCACAGCCAGTCACTAACAACCCCCCAGGAATCCCATCCGTCCCCCGCACCCCAACCTGACTTCTGCCCCGCGCAGCAAGCACGCCTGTCACTCAAGCCGAGAGGATGTTTTTGCACCGTGTGTGAGCGCGCGTGTGGTTAAACTTGCCCGGTGTGCTCCAGATGACTTCGAAGCAAGAAACCGAATTCCTCACGCGTGGTTTCAATATCCTTTTTTATCGGAGAGGGGTGGGGGAAAAAAAGTGTTGAAATTTTTTTTAAAAATCAAACGATAGCATTTTAATAAATGTAAATATGAAAGAATGCATCAAATAAAATAATAATATCAAATAGGACTACCGGATGGGCTTGATTTGCGATGACGTAATTCTGCCACACATTCTGTTCATCAGCTCCGTATAGGTCATCAGAACCAAAACCTTTTCACTGGTGTAGTGCTTCGGCCAATCCATCTTTTCAACAGCAAATTTCTACGGGGAGAAGGAAAATAAAACACTTTCATCATGATACCGGTAATCTGGGTCAAGAACCAAATGATGGAGAACAGCCAGCGGGCTGAAGAAAGCATTTGATCCGGCTGCTATGCAATTCCGAAAACAAACTCCATCTCAGAAGAACAATTATCAAAAGAAAAAAAAACTGTCACAAATTGTTAAAATATGGGGAACCCCACGAATATGAAAAAGGCCCTATGCTATGGATGGACATAATGTATTACCTGCATTGATAGCATATTTGGCTGCCTCCTCTGGAAGTTTTCGACGGGTTTATCTTTGGATAGCAGAAACTCGTTGATAATCTGCAGGGGAAATTGAAATGAAAGACGTGTTAAAAAAAAAAAAAAAAACACACCAATGCAACAGCTATTCCGAAATAAAAACAAACAAGGCGTAAGGTGACAACTCGACCTCTGAAAACGGGAATTGCTGACTTGCCAGCGTTTTCCTGAAACGACAAGGGAACAATCTTCGTAAGAACAAAGTGCCTCGGATGGCTCTGCTAAGTACACCGTATGTAAATGATACCAAATTATTTTTTCTCTCCATGTACTTTTTGATATTCGCCTCGACGGACTGAGCCTGCCGGATCCGTTCTGAGCGGTGCCATTCACATGGACACTGGTAGTCAAAATCTTGAGGTTTGCAGAATCGCCGACTGTCGCAAAGCACACAGCCGCTGCGTTCGTGGCCTTTGGCTGAGCCTTAAAACAAACAAGCAAAAGTCTGGAAAACATTTTGTGAAATGAGTTCGTGAATGAAATTTCTACTTGTTCAGCCTCCTGGGGAAAAAAAAAATCCTATTCTCAACATTTTGCTATAATTTTGACTTTGAATCCACACATTTAAGACACTCGCCCGACTCTTATCTGGTCTCCAAACGGAGGTGCGAGATCAAAGCTCACTCACCTGGATGTCGACATATGTGGCAGTGGGGAAGCTTCTTCGCGACTCCCTGAGACACGCACGCCACCTCGTCTTTCCATCGCATGAACCTGAGAGAATCAGCACATGCGACATCATCGCACCGCTCTGCTTGTCTTTGTGGCGCCGCTTGTTTTCAATTCTACCTCTGCAAAAGCGTTTGCCCTTTGATGGTCTGGATCAGCTTGAGAGCTTGTTCTTTACCGACGCCCGGGACTCCCTACGAAATGACGTAACAGAAGAACATAAGATATGTATGGTTTGTTTAGGTAGCATGAAACGTACCTTGGGAATGTAATCACATCCGAGGAGGATTGCCAGACCAACAAGATTCTCACAGGAGAGGCACAGTTCTGTTTGGACCCGGGAGGTCTTGTAGCAGTCCACCTGGGGGTCCTGGAAGGAAATACAACAGCTGATGATGCATGCTGTCCATGTTTTTTTTTTCTAATGGTAAAGTAATAAACTATTATGACTGTATGATCAACTCCAAATGTGTGATAAAACTCTTAACATATACCGATAAATGTGTGTTGCCAACATCAGCATACAGTGGATATAAAAAGTCAACAGCCGTTGTTCAAATGCCATGTTTTTGTGACATCATGTTACACGCTGGAGAGCTAATGAAAGTACGCACTTTGGAGTTCATATTGAAGTTTCTGTAGACGGTCCGTGCTCCGTACAAGAACACATCTCCATCATTGGTGATGCAACCATCCACAAGACTGTGTGAGTCCAGGTACGCACACATGGCCTCGGCTTCCCCTGCGGCAACCACCCACGGCACTCCGAGATAGTCAAGCATCTCTGCACACTGCAAACAATAAGGTGGAAACGTTACGCATACACGATGACAACAATGTTCAAAAAATTCAAAACAACCTCTCGGAGGATAGCATTAAAGCGCCCTCTTCTGGTGCTTGTGGAGGATTTCGATGCGTTTTTGGGCCCTCCAAATCGGTTTGCAGTCCTCTGGATCATGGTCTCTGTTTTCAGTTTCGGGGCCTCCCCTTCCATGACGAATACCAGCTTCACCCCCATAAGAATGAGGGATGACACCCGGAAAAATAGATTCCTGTGGATTATCGTGGTTGGTTAACTGAGTTGAGTTTGCTCCGCTCAGTGAGTTAAATAAAAGTCTAAAGAACCCTAGTTCAAATCCAAGGTGTTTTTTTCAGTTTTGCAGAAAGGACTAAAACACTGAACAGTCGGACATGCACATTCAAAAGTTTTGATGAGGTCAAGGTTACAGTACAGTTTAGGTTCATCCTAAAATTCCAACTTTTTTGTGAATGTATTAGAAGCACAACTCTACGCATACTGTGTAAGTGGACTTAAAATGAGTGTCGAGTATTACCTCAGATGGGGCTTTGTGACTCTGCCCATCATTGCTTGGACGTGCTGGGCCTCGCAAACCCACAAACTGAGGTCGACAGCCAGCGTCTTCCCGCTCAAGCTATACAGCGGCACCGACTCTCGCACAGGTTCGAGGATAGACCACAAGTCGTGCACACCCATCGCCACACCAATATGTGCTTTTATATGTGGTAAGTGAGTAGAAAATTGACAGCGACCGGATACATAAAACAACAATAACCGAGTCGGTGTTTTTCAAACATGGGCGCCTCTGAGGCAGCGATCCAATTCGCTTTCAATCTGACCAATGCACGTTCCTTGTTGTCCTCAAACCCGTAAAAATTGTGAAAATGTATTTAAAACCCAGCTTAGTTTACAAACACATATATAAATATCTAATATAACGTAAATTAATAGTTAAATCCGACAATAAGAAGATTACTGAGTTCAAAACGTGATAACTAGAGATCGATGAACAAAGCGGAACGTCCGCATTGTCGCACTAATTCGACGTCATATGGAAGCGCCGCCAAATCAGCGTTACCATGGATACAAGGGTACTGTTTACAGACCGAGACAGCCGTAATTTCACAAATTCTAAAGGGAAAAACTAAACTAAAGTACTCTATGAACTCCAAAGTTGATATAGCTCGATGACCATAAAGACCACCAACTTATCATCGGAAATGTCTGCTTCACGTACGAACGGTTGGTGCAATCTAACAATTACATGTTGTTTTGTAGCGCTGCTCAACTCACTCGGAAGATCCCGACTTAATTTGTGCATCATGTATACGATTAATATAATGCATAATTGCAATGAAACACATGAGATGAACATGCATAAAACCAATTATTGCTGGGTGTTGTATGACGTTCCTCTTATTTATTTACTTTTTTCAGACTTGGAACCAAAGTTACACATCAAAATAGTGGGCTTGATTAAAGAGCAATCTTTTCACATTGCCAAAAGCATCATCGAGGTAAGCAGCAGCGTGCAGAAGTTTTGGTTCAATGGAGTTCACTGCCCTTCGGTGTGAATTAATTGTCTTCACATACCCTGCAATTGGCTGGCGACTAGTCCAGGGTTTACCAGCTGCCTCTTGGTCAAAGTCAGCTGGGATAGGCTCGATAATATACAAAATGATTGGATGGATGACTGGATGGATGGATGTTCTGATGTGATTTTTTTTTTCCTATTTACCAAACAGGGACTAAAACAAAAGTTTCCTCGTGAGTTTGTGGATCCAGAAATTCTTGCATTACTTGAATTTGACTGGCATGCATTTCTGGACAACCAGAAGAAGGTATTTTGATAAAATAAAGAATGGTGATTGTATGGTATGAATGGTATTTTATATTTTTGAACATTGGCCATAGCCAGAACAGAATTGTTGCTCTGTTCTTGGTTTTTCATATGGAGATGTGCAGCTCGTGTGAATCCTTCCGGGTGGGATGCAGGGCCACAGCTCACCCCCAAATCCTGGAAAATCCTAAAATATCTGCCTTCAACAGAAAGCTCTGATGTATATCCATTTTTCAAAGTAGATACAATTCCAAAATATAAACAGAACATTTCTGTTTTTGCTTCGTGATCCTAACATGTATTCAAGTACATCTTAAATGAATTAAAAGAACTTCCCCACTGGTGACATCATGTGACATCCTCTTGTGACTAAAGGAAATGCGTGGCGAAATGTGGCAGTTCTCCAGTGGCGTCATGTGCTTTGTGGATGGCCAGTTCATTGGGGACAACGATGCTCTCGTCACCTGGGCCAAAGACCAGTGGGCTTTCACGTGCGACCAGCCGGAGGCTTCCTGCGTGGACGAATACTACCTGAAACATCTCCAAGCAACTCGGGCAAGTCTAACATCAAACCACAGCAAACCATAGCCACAAATATCAACAAACCGGTGGTGCCTCTTGCTCAAAGTCAAAGACTTTTAACAATATGAACCAACTCGTCAAAATAGGATCTGAATCAAAAGTCTCGTAATATTAGTTAGATAGCCTTTGTTTTTTTTGGGGGGGCGTGTTAAAAATAAACTGTTGTGTTTCCTATTCAGCACAGGTTTGTCTTCATGGACATTGAGATTGGAGGAGAGCCAGTGGGAAGGTTGTTATTTGAGGTAAACTGATGTCTTTTGGAAAAAATACACATTCAACCCGGCAGTGAAAAATACAGTCTTAAAACTGCTGTGTTCAAAGTACCGTAACACAAATTGGGTCAAACAGCTAATTCAGCGTTGCCTACGCTGTGTTATTTATACCTAGGGGATTGGGTCAAGATTTGATCTAGGGGGGGTGGGGCGATAACAATTCTAATGAGATAACGCTATCAAGAAATGGGTTACCAGATTATCAGTTGTACTGTGGTTAAAAATAACACATCCGAGATGCAATTTTCCCTGGTCAAGGGTCGCCATAGTGAGTCACTCACATGATATGTTTGGCACAGTTTTAACACTAAGCCTTGGTGTTAATTGGTGTTTTTCTACATGTCTTCGTGACCTCTCCTGGGTGTACATCGCTTAATGTCCAGAGACTCTTAAGGGGAACAAATGCTATGGAAAATGGATCCATGGACATTTTCAAAAAGTGCCATGAAACCATCCTCGGAATATTGCAGCTGAGCAATGTGCTTCACCAATCTTTGCTCATTTCTGTCACGCAGCTCTTCTCGGACGTGTGTCCGAGGACGTCGTGGAACTTTGAGGCTCTCTGCACAGGAGAGCGGGGCCAGTCGACCGGCGGTTATCCGCTCTGCTACAAGGGCTCCCTGTTCCATCGGGTGGTGCCGAACGGCTGGGTGCAAGGAGGAGGTACGCCACGGCCCATGCACGTCATGCTGCTGCCACTTGTAATCAATAAATATAATTTAATTTAAATGAATGTTTTGGACGTTTTTGGGCTTTTCTTTGCAGATATTACTCCAGAAAGAAGAGGAAATGGAGGCGAGGCCATCTATGGCGCAACATTTGACGGTACGGCAGCGAACCGTTGAATAATGACTTGACGGTGTTATTTGTCTTACTGTTTGTCTGCGTTCAGATGAGAGCTTCGCTCTTTCTCACGCCAAGCGAGGCACTCTGGGTATGGCCAACAAGGGGCCACACAGCAACGGCTCCCAGTTCTATATCACCCTGCAACAAACGCGGTGGATGGACTTGACCTATGTTGCCTTTGGGTTAGTCGCCATGACGAAACATTCAGCGATTCAATCGCAAACCCTTGCATCTTCAGATTTGATTAAGCATGTTTTTTGCTTATTTTAGTCAAGTGGTTGAGGGTGTCGACGTCCTCAGGAGGATAGAAGAGGCCCCCACCACCAATCAAAGACCCAAGAAGGAATGTACAGTTGCCAACTGTGGTGTATTTAAACTATAGCTCATATTTTAAAAATTAAAGAAAAGAAAGAAAAAAACTGTATTTGTTTTACAATAACTGTTTAAAACCATATGTATTAAAACCGCCGTGTACGAAATACGTATTTGTTGGCTTTTTCATTTAAAATGTTTACCAACCAGAGTCGCCAATCTTGCCTTTGCCTTGTGTTTGCCTTTGTCAGTTTTTGGCCTCTTGATATTTTTAGCTTTTTTTCCCCCTCTTCTGTCTCGCCTTCTGCCTTTGGTTGTTCCTCGTATGCTGCGTTTTCTTGAAAAAAAAAAAAAAGAAAACATCCAACCCCACCCAGTTATTTGTCTGAAAATTAATATTCTTAAATGGCAAATATATATTTGTCCATTTAGCTTTGCTAGTCACGTATAGTGACTTCCATTATATATCAAAGGGTGCACTGATTACACTGATGGCGTCCTTCAACTTTGTGTTCAATTAAGCAGGCCCAGAATTCACACAAATTAAGTCAATTAAAATGAGACAGTAGATGACGTAGAAATATTTGCCCTCCCCCTCCAACCCGCCCCCGCCTCGCCCCGCCCCCAAAGTAGAAAGGTGTCACATGATCTATCAAGTAGGAAGTGTCTAGTTTAGCCTGCGAAGCTTCAGCCTCCCTCGGTAGCCTCAAGTGCCAAACCCGAGACGACGAGCCCGAGAAAATCACCGCCATCTCATTCCCGACACGTATCTCGCCGCCGCTCAAATAAGTCGACCGCAGCCATGAACGCGAAGGTGTATTTGGTCGCCGCAGCAGCCCTGGTTGTCATTGGCGCGGGCGTCGCGTCAGCCTCAAGTAAGTTCACCGGACGCTCGCTGGCTCGCGGCGATGCTAACGGCTAACCGACTAGCCTCGAGCGACTCGACGCATCGACGCATTTCCCAAGCCCTTCAAGATCGTGTAGACAAATGAGAAAATGGCCCCTTAGGTCAAAAGGCAAGGTGAATAATATTTTAATGGAAGCGCAAGTCGATGTCACTGTTCCCCCCACCGGGCACTACGTATTAAAAAATTATCCAATTGGCGACGAGCCAGTTTCATTTCCACGCTGGTCGCCGTGTAAGCTAGCCGAGCGTTGCCACGTTAAAAGCGAACTAAATGATACTCGGTTCCACAATTTAAACCAATAATTTCTATTTAGTTTTATTTGAGTTTATGGAAAAACGAGATGCAAGTTGCAGCAATGAAACACGTGTTATTTGTATGTGCGTATGTAAGGTGAGTCCCATATTTGTTTCCATATAGATTACAATTTTTTTTTGTGTAATTTAAACCACATACTGTCTTTTCATAAAAAGGCAATTCTGACAGTTTCACTTCAGTTTTCCATTTTGAAAGGGCTTGTGAAACCCCGTTAAATAAATTTAAGTTAAATATAGTGACAGAGTTGTTCCCTCATTAGAATTAAATAAGCCATATTATATTTAACAACGAATGAAGTGGTCTTTGTGCCTCAAAATTAATGGCTTGGGGAAAAATCCCCCTGCCCCCCAGGAAATCTATTTAAAATAAAGGCGATAGGTGAAAATGCTCAACAAAGCAAGCCCACAAGTGATCAAAAATTAGAAATAAGAATTAAACAAAAGAAATCCAGATTTATTTAAAAAATGTAATTGGTATGTTTGCAGATGAATGCCCCACCCTCAACTGCACTGCTTGTGACCCTGCGAATGACTGCCAGTGGCTCAACTGCCCATCATGTGAGTATCCTTCCATCCCTAAATGTGCGTATGTGTGTCAGGTATGCATGGCTCGAGGGCCACAGGTCGGTCTTTGTGAGGCCCGAATTGTCCGCTCGGACTCCTCCTGATTCCTGGGAATGGAGGGAATGTATGTAAGGACCGCTGGCGTCATGTTGCACAAAACAGCAGTAGCGTGACTGTGACAGGCCAGTTTTCGTTATTGTATTGGGCTCACACATTGAGGATTAACAGCAGTTGTTGCTATGACTGGTTTCCTTTCAAATGTTTTACCGGGCAGGGTCTGTTTACGACAGATCATTTCCCGATAGTGGCGGTGTAAGCAGAATTTGTACATGTAGGAACATGCTGCGCTCTTCTACTCTTGCCCCCCCCCTCCGGACCCATGCAAATCTGCCTAGCTGGACTAAGTTGATTTTGCAATAGCCACCAAACACACACTAAAAAAATGCCTGTGTGGTTAGGTCAGAAAAATAGAACAGATTATCAGTGTCAGGAAAAGAGTTTACAGACTTTTTGGCTGTAACTCGCATAAAAAAAAAAAAAAAAATGACCAACACGCACTCAAGTCTTGACCACTCGTGCGACTGCACATATGAACAAGAGTTGCGTTAGGTGTGCGATTATGCCTGATGCTCGTAAGTCTGCCAGAAAACGTAGCAGAGGAAGTGAGGCGACGTTGTGGCAGGAAACCTGACTTGTCTTCACACCGCGGCCCAATGAATAAGGAAACCAAAAAAAGCTTTAGCTACAGGAAAGCTTGTCTCCAAATGAGTGGCTAATCCTGACTGTTTTGGTCAGATTTGCGCCACAATCACTTGACTTGAGAGCAGGCGGGGATCTCTTAGTTGTCGACCGGTTTGACAAGTCAACCCAATATGAAGATTTGATTCCGAAACTGGTCTGACCGCTTAGCGATGTTGTCAAATGCCGTGATCCCAAACGGTTTGTTATTTTCTTTTTTAATGCTAAAAGTTTTGCCGTATTCCTCTCACATTGCACATGAGCAGATGCGCGAAGAGGAAAATATAACAGAAAAAAAAAATCCCAACAATTCAAATGGATGTCGAGTTGAAAAAGCGTATTTCAAAAATACAGCAAAATTGTGTACATACCTGAAGTGTGACTTTGAGTTGCAAGTTGTTGCTTTTTAAAAATGTATATTTAATGACCGCATCTGTTAAATGTGAATACACATTCTGGTATTGGTCTGTAAAAAAAAAAAAAAAAACAATGTGAATACACATTCTGGTATCGGTCTGTAAAAAAAAAAAAAAAAAAAAAAAGTATATCCTTAATTCATTTCGCATTGAAGGCCAACAAGCTCCTAAGAGGTTACAATGTTCAACTCACCGATAAAGACCTTTTATCTAAAGTCCACAGAAATTTTGCAATTGGTGTTTGCCGAGACACTTAGAGGCTTTGGCAATCCTGAACAAAGGATCTGACAGGATATACTGTCGACAGATGTAACAGTGCTGACTTGATACACGCACCAAGTTTGTCTGGAGCCAAAGTGTCTTTCTGGGTCAAGAATGGCTGACTTGTTGTTGTTTTTGAACCCAGCAAAAAGTGCCTATAACCCCAGCCAGTCAATGGCTGTTTTGAAAGTCCGGAGGAAGCACGTTGCAATGGCAAGCTAACACCCTCGCAATCATCGCTACTCCCAAGCCATATGAGACCTCATTTGTAGTTTGTATAAACCGCCACCTCGCTTGCAAATATCCAAGTGCTGGCCCAACCTTTTCACAGCTGCCTGTTAAAACAACGGCCCTGCCAAAACTGCGCAACACAATTTTTACCTATGGCTGTGCAAAGTTTCCCCAAAAGGTGTCAAAAATATTTCAACCGACATGTGACAAAACCCAGTGCAGACAATGAGGCGGGATCTGGTCAGCTTTGTGTGCAGTACAAGTTGTTTTTATAATGTTCAGATTGTATGCTGGCATGCTGAATCATAAACCGGATCTGACAAACAAGCGTTAATTGAGCTTTGCAAGGTGTGGTTCCACAGATTTTTTTTTTATTTGTTTTAAAGACAGCAAACATAAATGGTCTTAACTTATTGATGAATGGCATCCTTTCCTCAAAGTGTTTAAAGTGACGTGAGCGGGTTGGAAAGAATCCGCAGTCACAAGATGCCGTGAGTCACAACTCGCTGAGAAACGCTAATTCATCCGTAACGGGTGAGCGCGGATATTTGTCGATCTGAGGTTTGCAGAACTGACCCGTTGTAAACAGCGATAATGTTTTATTGGAGAAAGCGTCGACATCTGGACTTCCTCTTTTGAGGGGCAGGAAACATTCACGGAGGTCCAAAGTCCCATTTGTTGGTCAATGAGTAATTGGATTGCATGATCCATCTCAAATGTATTGAAACACTCAGGCCAATATTTAATTTTTGATGACATGGCCTCAAATTCAAATGTCATTAAAATATATTTATTTCTGGACCTCACTCTAATCCTTTGTCGTAAGGCATCGATTTTTTCATGAGACCTGACCGACAGGTGTATTTTGTTGACCGGATGTTTCCCAATTATGTCCAAATCTGGCACTGGTTGCTAAGATACCAAGCAGGAAGTAGCCTGGCGCCGAAAACTGCTCCTCTTGGATGCGCAGTCTATCGTCACAGCGTATTTGTCGTTGCGATGCCGCCATTGCACAAGCTGTTTTAGTAATCTCATTGCGGACTCACTAAATTTGGAATTTGTACTGAATCAACGGCGCATTTACTCATCGTGGCCGCATCATTTATGGCACGCTATTTTGCCTCGGTTGCTTTCAGCTATTCATATAAAAGAGAAATGAAACCCATGAATTTGTCTTTGTATTTCAGCACCCGCTGGCGGCCGTTGCTACAACGTGACTCTCCTGGATAAAAACACCACCTGTAGCAATGCCAGCTGCTCCGGTAGGTCTCCCAACAGTACAGGAACACCTCATGTGTCACATGATCTGACTAAATTGAATGATTATATTACGTGTTTTGTTCACGTCCGAGTCAATAAAGCGCGCGTCCTAAACGACGTGTGCTAGGCGACCTTCGTGTATTGAAGCCAAATGATAGTGGCTATCAACCCTGACCCAGATCTGAATGCCCACACCACACTTTTACAGCCTCCTTGCGTTTAGTTGCGCACCAAATTTCCCGTTCTTCGTTATTAACTGGACTGTAAAGTCACGTGAGTGCTACTTTGCTTTGAATGTGTCAGCTCTCTGCCTTCTGTCTCTTGCCGTGTTTTATTTTTTTAACATAATTTGAACTGACATGGGAGTGTATTTCAATGTGTCGTTTCCGTGGTATCTTTGGCTTCCCCCGTTTTCAAACTCTTGTCCCGGTGATGGTTTCCTGTCCAGTTGAGCCGACCCCAACCCCGCAGACTCCCACACCTGTTGCCTCTACCACTGCAAAGTCCTCTACCCCTGTTGTCACAACCTCTCACAGCAGCAGTCCTGAACCCACCACAGGTAACCCCCGCAACCCCTTCTCCGCTTCCTCCTCCTCCGCCGCCGCCCCATCCTCCTCCAGCTGCCTGCCTCGCGGACCCTACCATGCTTCTAAAATATTTTTGACTGGAACCTTGCCTAATTCAGCATCTAACATTAACAGAATGACAGGTGCACACCTTCCTGTTTGTCAGCTTGTCTTGAGGGATTCAGGTCGGCAACCTTTTTATACCCAGAGGGATTTCGTCGCGGTTTCCATGGAAAAGACAACACTGGGCGCCGCAAACACTTTTTGACATTTGAAACGACAATGGTGGGGGGGCAGAGGTTGACTCCAGGGAAATCTATGTTTCAGAAAAGTCATTTTATTTACTAAATGAACACATTTTGAACTCTTATTTTAAAAAAAAAAAAGCAGGATTGAAGGTATCTTTCAAACAAATTGAAAAGCACACCTTAGAGAAAACTTCTAGAGCTGAACTTCTTAGCAAACACAAATGCAAATTTAAATGACCAATCCATTGGAAATGCGTCTCTCTGATTTTTCTGCACAATTTCAGTCTTTCTCCGGAGCCGCAGGTTTCCGACCCCAGCACTCTAGAATATAGCCAATAAAATTTCAGTCATTCATTAAAAATATGTCGTTAAAGTTGTTTCCAAAAAAATAGCCCAAACTGAAAAATGAACAAAACAAACGTGATCTTTGCCAAATGAACTTGTGGCACTCTTTTCTGGTTTATTGCTTGGAAAAAAAGACCTTTTGAACGATGCAGCGCTTAACTGTCACTGTGACCCAACCGCAGCCAATTCAACCAACACTTCCACTGCGGCGCCGACACCCACTCTCAACATCTCCACAGTTGCACCCACAACTTCGTCCAAAAATTCAAGTAAGTGGCTCGTGGGACTCGCACACTAACTTGGATTGTTATTTGTATTTGTATTTTGAAGATAAGCTTACTTTTAGGGGAGAAAAAAAGATAAAATGACACTTTCAATTTAACATTTCAGCTTGTCAGTTTCGGGGGGGGGAAAGTCAGATTTTATCAAGAGAAAAAAAAATCGGAGTTGGTCTTTTTTTTTCCTGAGTTAAAAAGAAAAGTAACATTTGCAAAGGAAAAAAATAATTTTGTTTATAGAAAAAAAACATTCAAGACGGCTTTTTTTGTTGCTTTTTTTTCCACCCAAAAGTTTTTTTTTCTTCATTTAATATAAATAGGGTAATGCCAATATTCTTTTGACTTCATAAAATTCAACTAACCGATTAATTGTGCTTCTATTCTTCATCCATTGTAACAACGGGTGCGTCTTTCTTTCCCGTCGACTCTTCCAGGCAGTTCCACGACAAGCGCCCCGGTGACGCCCTCTCCGGCCCCTCATAAGAACTCCACCTTTGACGCCGCCAGCTTCATCGGCGGCATCGTGCTGGTGCTGGGACTGCAGGCGGTCATCTTCTTCCTCTACAAGTTCTGCAAGTCCAAGGAACGCAACTACCACACCCTCTGAGGCCGCGCCACGCGCGCTCAGGTTCCACACCTCTCAGAATGTACCCCCGTCAACCAAAACACTCCCGTCCGCTTCCCTCGATAACTCTAACAGTGTTTCCAACCCCCCCGCCCCCCATTTTACACCTCGTAAATCAGTGACTCCTGCAAATTGACGTTGTTTGAAGTCTCCTCATAGAAATTAGCTGATTGTCCCGTAAGAGGGAAACACTGTTGGAGTTGTTCAATGTGACAACTTTCCAAAAAGTTCACTTTCGCTTTTAGCCTGTCCAATCGTTTCCGGCCCCTCTCCCGAACGCCATTTTATCTTGTATATGTTGGTCGTAGTTGAAGAGGTTATGATTATTTTTCTCCCCCCACCCCTCCCCCGCGGTTAACAAGCCATTTGTCAGGAGAGTGGCTCGATTGGTGTTGTCTTGCAGTGGGCAAAGATCAGCGGAAGCGAGTTATAACGTTGACCGCTGCCCCCTCATGGGCAATTGCATGCAATAAAAACATCAAGTCCCATCTCCTGTCTGCCGTCACCTTAGCCCCCCCCCCCCCACCGGCTGTCTGATTGCAGCGGCGGTGATCAAAATGGAAAAAGATTGTACAGTATTTTTAGGAATGTCGAAGAGTTAGTTTAATGCCGACTTGGACGCGAGCGGCGTGCGCCGTTCCTTGATGGCGGACCGTAACGCAGTAGGTGTCAAGTGCCTTTCAACGTCTGGCGTGGTGTCGACGAGGAAACTCGAGGGGAAGAATGGGTTTTATTTTTTTTGCCCCCACTCGAGTGTAGTGACGTGTATCCCAGCTGGACTGAAGAGCCTTAGTTACCCGTGGAAAGACGGTAGAAGCCCGGGCGTATTAAAAGTCAGATTTGAACACCTTTCCCCACCCTCAAAAGTAGATGGCGAGTTCACGTACGGTCGTTGTGACTTGACACTCCCGGCAATCGGCGAGTGTCACTTCTGTTGTATTGCAGGGTTTGGTTTAATGTTATGGTGAAGAAAATGTTGATAAATGAGGAGTCTTGTTGGCTGTGTGCTGCTATTTTTTGTTTTGTTTGCTGTCATTTAGTCGTCATGTCCATCTTTTAGGTTTTCGTGAAGTTCAGGGAAGTCTTAATGAAGGAACGTTGATCTGCCTTTTGTTTTTTTGTTTTTTGTGCGCTTTACAGAGCTCGTCACTGAATATGTGTTTTTTTTTTTTGTTTGTTTTTTTTTTTTGCATGCTAGTTCCTTCTTTCCTCTTTATTTGTAACAATTAAGGCCGTAATGATTCATACTCTGGCCAAAGTGGAGTTCACGTGAATATTGGTTTGGGTTGGAAATAACACAAGAAAAACTTTGTAAAATGGTTTCAGTGTCACAAAAAAAAAAATTGCATTTCTTCCAAATTGTCTATTTTTGATAGTTCTTTTGCCACTTGTAATTCCGGCAAAAAATTGTTCCCCATCGCGTTTGGCAGGCGGCGACTCGTTTTGGGTGCGCCACCTTTTTGGGCAGGCAATGAATTAATTCTGTCCTCAAGTGTATTTGCTTCTTTGGAGTCTTTTTTTCTTCTCCCCATCCTGAAAAGCCACTTGATAAATCATTAAGAGAATGCCTTGAAACCGTGAGCCGTTTTTACGCCAAATCCCTTCGTTTTGGCACGGGACTTCAGCATTGTACTGACGAGCTTTGTTTGTGCCGCGTTTGTACGGTTCGGAAACCAAAATCAAATGCTTTGTGTATTATTCGGCCGCGCAGTATCGAATACAAACTTTCTTCGCCATACTATCGCCAGGTGGGCATTAGGCTACAGCCCAAAGATGCACAGGGAGTTTTTTTGCCTTAGCCACATCCCATTTTTGGCCACATTTCCAAAAAATACTTGTGAAGTGTCCACCGACGCTGCTACGTCATCAGGCCTGAATTCCTAAAAGACGAACATCGCACGCTCAGATTGTCGCAACACGTGTACATTTTGCCTGCTTCTTACTTGCTCGCCGCGCGCTGCTTCTGGAAAAGTGCCTTACTCAGTTAAGTTTGTAAGAGGGGAAGAAAAAAAAATCCTGCTTGTTCATGTAAATGGTTATCAGCTATTTCAGATCTGTTTAGACATTTTATTTTTTTTTCGCCATGCCTAGCCTTAACTTAAAATCAATTCTATTGGTAACATACCACATGCCTGCTTATGAAATCATCTCCTTTCCAAACTGGCAGCCAAGCGGCGGTACAGTTTCGATCCTTTTTATTTTCAATGTGTAGAAAACAAAAACAAAAACAAAAAAGCTTCAGCATTCCCTCGCATGGCCCACTGATTGCTAGGTGCGCGCACACTGGAGTGCCATCCATTTGTGTTGCCTTCTCAAGATGTCATACTTCTTGGTACGATTCCAATGGCTATGTACAAAAAAAAATCTTTCCATGTGTTTGCATTGTTTGTTTTTTTTTTTCCAAGTGTGGCTTTATGTTGCGGCCTGTTGACCCAATAAAGTTTGTTCAAACAAGCATCACCGTTCTCCTTGGAATATAGACGAATGTCTGATCTTTTGTTTTGGCTCTACCGCAGCAATTTTTAGGGGCGTCACCGGATGAAAAGAGGCTTGCGTCCCAGGATCAAGTTGACGCCTGTGAATGCGAAGTCAGCTTTGTTCTGCGCTGGGAGTAAATGTCGAATGATGTGGATGTTCATAATTTTTTTTTTTTTTAATTAGCTCTTTTTCATTTTAAATTTTGTCGGCACAGTTTGAACATTAACAGCACTTAAAATAGGAAACTAATAACCTGAAATGATTCAATATGAAATGTGTTGTACCCAATTTAAAAATTGTATCTTGACCAAGCTTCCAAGGTTGTTTGAGGCGCTTGCGTGGAAGGAGAAACCTTGTTTTAATCCCCTATAACCCTTTAAAGTGCTGCAAAAATAACTACTACAAATTTGTTTCCCCACAGGCACTCATGCTGTCTTTTGGCATTTTTCTCAAAAGTTTCCAGGGTCACTGCAAAGTTTGCTGCTTTCTGGCTCCCCCCTGAAAAAGAACCACAGTGAATGCTTTCTCCAATGACAAGTGTTTTAGTGTGTGTTTATGCAGCTTGTTAACTTCCAACTGGCCCGCAAACCCTTATTTTGGGATTTCAAGTTATGTCCGCAAGAATCTTGAATGGGCTCGTGCGTTGAAATTCCCCTTCGAGGACTGTGCAAAACTGTTGAACAGCACAGCATTCAACTCGGGAGCTCTGGAGAGTGGACTGGCTTTGTGTCTGTGGCCTGGCGGCAGCTAATCTGATTTGCACATCCAGTTGTGCTGGGTAACCTAATGCAGCAGCAGAGGAAAAACAAAACCTCAGGACCATTCCGCCGCCATACTGTTGATTAGAAAAGGTGGGCGGGGTTAGCGGTCGAGGAAATTAGCTGCGTTTAAAAACCAAACAAAATGGGGGAAAATAGATTTGGTTTACCTTCCCATTTTTATCTTTTGAGGATTATATTATTTCAAAAGTACTGCCTTCTGTTCAAATAGAAATGAGCACTTTTGACTCAAGCATACAGGAAACGGACAAAAAAAAAAAAGGTCCCGTGGTTAGTTCCTTTGACTCATGCCACAAAATTCACACGACCCAATCTCAACTATTTTAATCTCGTGACCTAACGCCATTCAAACAGTTTCCAATCCGGAAACAAACTGAAATTTGACACCTCTCCCATTTGGATGAAAACGGCTCAACACTGCCATCTAGTGAGTACTCATTGCATTAACTGTCAAAATTGTAGAAAATATGCTTTATTTCAAATATACACTATGTAATATAAAATAAATCATTACAACATGACATGGTTAAAAACAAGATCTAAAAACGTGTAAACTGGTTTGACGTAGTCATTCTTGACTAAGCTTCCCAACAGATGTCTTCTTCTTTGAGGCTGTTGCGTAGCTTCTGCGTTTCCCTGAGGATGTGGAGGCTCTGCTGACCTACGCTGCTCGGCCTGTCCTGATGATGATTTTTGCTCCTGGCAGGAGAAGTTGACAACGGCTGCACGGCACTTGGCTTCTTGCTCATCTTGTTGGTGGCGTGTGGCTGCTGGGTCAACTTGTGGACCTGAAGGAATGATGAGAATAAATGTCTGGTTTAAAAAAACAAATGGTAAGAAAAAAGAAAAACAACAACAACCAACGGTTAATGTTTTTTGTAGGCCGAGGTTGATTATTTCATTTATTATGAAAATAATTGTTGGTGACAGTCCTAACATACACACTTATGCATGGATAAGATCCTGCTTGTCCTACCGACTGCTGGTGTTTCCTCAGTTTCGTGATCTGCGCTCCTTTTTTGTCCATCCTGGCCGCCATACTTTCTAGTTCTCTCTGCAGTTCGTGCCTCTGCTCCATATGCTGAGTGGCATCGATCTGACGCATCAGCTCCTGATGTTCACTGAAATTTCCCGCGCGTATAATCATCGCCAAATGTGACAAATGTGTGTATTACGGCGATCTCGGCTGGACTCACAAGCCCATCTGTCCCAGCTCGTCTTGCAGGGCCAGCAGAAGGTCTGACAGCGAGCCCAGCGACTGCGCGTCGGGCTCCGCCTCCCCGTCTCGCCTGGCCGCCGGCTGGGCGTCCATGCGCAGGCTCTTCCTGGCACCGCAGCCCGTACGGTGCAGGGCGCTCACCCGCTCGCACAGCTGAGGCTGGTGGTGCTTCATCATGTGCAAGATGCTCTGCACGTTGGCGTGCACCGAGTGGCTCGGGTTGGTCGACTGGAAGGAGAACGCAAATGCATCGAAATATTCCAAGGGGACTGACAACCAAAAGGTAAGAGTGAATGCTTTATTTCGGTAGGTCACTACTTACCATTCCTGCCACAAAGGGAATCCTTTTGTGCTTCAGTGACGCACTCTCATTCGGTCGGGGGGATTTCTGAAATAGATCACAATAATCAGATACCGCCAATTCATCCCCAGCAACCATTTTAAGGCTTTTAAACAATACCAGCATGGGCTTTTGGGGGGTCTTCGTTGGCTTAGTCTGCTGGGCAGCGGGTGGAGAAGACAGTCTAAGATTGAGGTCCAACTCTCGCTGCAGCTGTGGACATAGTGCTAAGTTGTTTTTAACCACACGATATGTAGAGAGGTCCAAAAGTACGACAAATGCACCTGCATGTGGAATGAACAACGACAAAAAGGTCGCTTAATTTGAGGAGATTTTGACTTACCTGGCCTGCTTTCTCCTGCACGAGTTTACGCTCATGCTCCTCCTTCAGAAGCCTCTGCTCCAGAACGGCAAGCTTCATCTGTCAACAGCAGTGTCAAAACTAATGACTACAAAAAGCAAAGGGGGGTGGGGGGGGGGGAATAAATAAATAAATACTTGGGGTAATAACATAAATCTTACCTCTGACAGATTTTGAGTTCTGCTCAATTTGATACACTCTGATTCAAGTTTCTGCAGCTTTTCGTGGTGAATTTGCTCGTCTGGGTTGCTTGGCTGCTTCTCTTGCTTCTGCTGCTGTAGGGTTGAGTTTAAATGAACACATGAGTCAAATTATTATATGGACAGATATAGATATTGATAGTTGGGTCTCAAGTTCAACCAGAACCATGGTACCATTGTCCATGCATCGTACCTGATTGTCCGCCGGTGCGTCCTTGTCCTTCCTGGCGCTGTCCACCATCCTCCTCATGTAGTTTAGCTGCTTCTCAAGCATTTTACAGCGAGACTCGGCAGACTGCAGCTTAGCGTCCAGCTCTGTAATCAAGGCTCAATCTCAGTTAGGAGGCATCACTTTGCTTGCACCTAAAAGCAAAAACAAAAAACATAAAAACCCCAAACAAACAAGATGTTATTACCTTTCCTGTTATCGCCCTCTGTCACAACCAGGCTCGCTGACATCGCAGCGGGCTCATGCTTCCCCGCATCGTGTGAAAATTGCGGATGGCTCTTCTCTGCTTGTAGCCGTTCCTGCTCCAGGCGTTTTATTTTCTCCTGAAGGGTCCTGAGTGCATCCACGACACCTGAAATGAGGCAAGCAGACTGTACCTGTAAATATATATTCTAGTGACAGTGAGGAAAAAAGAAAAGCGAAACACCTCATGTACCCTGGCTGCTCTGTTTAGTCGATTGGAGTCCAGGTCTGTCGATCAGGTGCTCTGCGCCTTTGGGGGACAGCTGCGCTTCTTTTGGGATTGCCAGTATCTTGTCCGGAGGCTGGTAGTAGCTCCCTATATAGCTATTCTTGGAGGGGGAGTCTGAAAGCTACACACAACAACGCAAACCTCCCTTATGGGCTACATACTACCACTTGGCAAAAATATTAAAATATCGACTTGTCATGCATCATTTACAGAGGCTTTGGTGTAATAAACTCAATTTTACTACATGCATATACAGACATGACATATATGCACAGCAATTGTATGATTTTTTTTTTTGTCCCCCAATTTTGAAGGGCGATCACCAATTTTCTTGAACACACCACTGATAAGGAGGCTAATTGAAGTACCGCAGTTGGTCATTTATACACATACTGACTTGTACTACTACAGTGATGCATTCGCGGCCACTGGGGCATGAGTCATCCACTTATGCGACCTTCCAAGTTTTAAGTTCTCATTTTCCGGTATAAAATCACCCAGAACTGGTTGTAATGAATGTTGCTAACTAGTATTGCGAATTAAAACATCTAAATGCATATTATAGAATCTCTTTTAAGTGTTTGCACCCGTGTGGCCCCTGAGCAGCAGTCAAATTTACTTTGCCAGGACAAATTTACCAGTTTTACCGAACGCAGCATTCGTCGAGCAAGTGCAGGTTTGAAATGTCCGAGCTCCCCAGAGGTTCCCTGGACGCAGCATAACAGCTAATTTATTGTTGTTAATCGTGAAAATCCTAATCGCCTCTTCATTCGCAAAAATAGCAATAACTACATTGTTAAAAAGCTACTAGACACTGGTTAAAGCCTAAACGATGATCGACTTATGCTAGGCTAACATTTAGCACTCCGAGCAAAACGGCTACACTTGAAAGGTTACCTGGTCGTGGCTCAACTCCATTCTGTACCATTACTAGGAGTTATCCTCGTTCGGACCGTGCGTCTCTATTTAAAACTGCTGATTGATATCTGTAATTGCCGTTTCGCGCTAAAGCAACTGCTTTTGACAGAAGGTCCCCACAGTTTAAATTTCCCTCTCTTTTCGCTTGTTTGGTTCATGTTCCGCCTGCACACTAGTTCCGCCCTCCCCACGCCATCACCTTGCACACTTTCTTGCAGATTACGCGATTACAAAACGTCACTGTCTCGTAAGACACACGTTGTTCAATTGAAATAATAATAGTTTCAATGACAATGAGAGTCAAAAGTCAAAGCTTTGCACGACTGAAAAAATGTATCTTGCAATTATAGTGATCCAAATTGCACATTATTTGTGCTGCACGTGAAATAAATGATTTTAATGTACACAAATGCATTCTTTGTTTAGTGTTTGATATGTTGCGTGGCCTTGCATAGTTAATAAACAAATTGTATGCTATCAAAAGCGTATAGCACACAGGGGCCACTTCCATTAAATGTATCGCCCTATAAACATTTGTTACCTCCATGTTACTTTCTCACTAAGTCTACATGTTTCACCAGGTCATACTTTACATTGCATTTACTAGGAAATTGTCATCTAATAGCATTCCAACCTCTTTCTCACTCGTTTCACAAATAGGAATGACGTCATTTAAACAAACAACCCCGAGTGAGGGGGGGGGGTCAACAATACCTCACCCTTTTTCTGCCCGTTTTTTCCCCCCCTCTTATTTGTGATAAACAACTCAAGGAGGTGGAGCGGCGACCGTTATACTGTGTTGCATGGTGGGAGTTGTAGTTTATAAAAATCCAGTTTTGGATTAACTAAAGGCGTCAGGAAGCTTCAACGAAAACTCAACTCCCAGAATCCCTTCCCTTGCCAGCATGGTAACAGATGGCTGACCAATCAGCACCCAGAGCTGCCACTATCCCACCCCCGAGCACGGAATACCTCTTACCATTGGTTTGTCGTGGCTATCAATCAAATGTTTACTCCGCAGTTGCTGCCTCCTGATGATATTACTGCGGGGCGAACGAGGCTGGCCACTTGTGTGGTAAGGTGTCCCGTTGCAAGACTAGTACCGAAGAATGTGACTAAAGTAAGTAATTTACTCACGACACCATTCTGCCTTTGTCACACTATGACAGCTAACACGCCTTTGACAAGCGGCTTTGCCCTTTTACTCCGATTGTAGTGGCAAGGGAGCAGAATCGAATGGAACTGAGTGACCGGCAGGCAGGCTTCGGTATTTGTACATTTTTCATGACGTTTTAGTGTTCAAACTTGTCATTTACGGGCGGTCAGATAAGTAGTAGGAGCACATTTTAGGACTTGGGAGATTGTTCGTAATATTAGTGAGGCTTTTTTTGAGGGGGCAGACCACGTATCAGTATGCTCAACAATGTCTGGCGTGATGTTGGTTTAAATCCCCTGCTAGATGCCTTTTCGGAGGTAATGCAGATGTTATTTGACGTGAGTGATCATACTTTCATTGTATCTGCACCTTTATTTGTATTTCAAATATTTATCCCTGCAGTCATACTCCACAGTCTCCACTTAGCTGGAGTGCCCCGTTTTCTCATTGCTCTTAGTGTTCCTTAAATGAAAATTACAGCATTTGAGACACGACAGCTAGAAATGATCACAACACACACACACACACACACACACACACACACACACACACACACACACACACACACACACACACACACGTTGCAATATTATACTCCACAGTCTCCACATGGCTGCAGTGCTTCATTTCCTCACCACCTTCAGTCTCCTCTTGAATAAAATAACAGCATCAATGTAACATTTGAGGATACAAGTCTAGAAATGATAAAAAAATAGTTGCATTATCCTGTAAATGTGATGAAAGGTACATTACGCTATTCGACTCCGCAGTCTCTGTTTTGCTGCAGCGCACAATTTAATCCCTGCTCTCAGTGTCCTCTCAAATAAAATTGTTAGACTTGACATACCTATATAAAAGATAAAAAAAAAAAAAACAACTACTATCAAAACAAAAAAACATGATCATAGTAGCTTCGTTTTAGTCCTGGTGGACAATGCAGTTAATTCACTTCCATTGTCTCCACTTTGCTGCAGCTCTCCATTTTTGCCAATAATGCTGTTTTCAATGGTTTACATAAATATCCCGATTTGATACGCGTGTGTCATTCCTGTACCATATACATGTTGAGTGTTCTCGTGTGCTAATGTTTGCCTTAGCCTTACTGTACATCAACAACACACATCAAGTCTCCATATCAGAGGATGGACGCGCAAGACCAGGAGACTCTGGGCAGGTGGGATGGGCTGGCCAGCCGTGACACCAGCTCCAGGACGGCCGCCATGGAGCACATTCGCCAAGAGGTCCTAAGCAAAGTGGAGGCTATCGGGCCCGAGCCAACGTCCTCGCCCTCGCCCTCGCCCTCGCCCTGTCTGTCACCGGCATCCGGTTCCCCCGCCAGGAGCGACCTGAACGCTGTCCTGGCTCACCTCCTCATGCTCACCAAGCGTTGTCCTTTCGAAGACGTGAGGGAGCGATGTGTCCGTCTTTTGCAGACTGTCCAGGTAGGAGGTTTTTATTATTTCTGTTGTCTACCTCACAGTCTTCACTTTTTTTTTTTTATCTACCAGTCTGTTTTCTTTGCTGCCCTTCTTCTCCTTTTGAATACAATTGCCGCATCTTTGTAACATTTGCAGATACACAGCTCGAAATGACAACCATGCTAATCTTAGCTTAGCCTGTTGCTGTGCTTCAGTTCTGGAGGCTGCACTAGTATACTCCACAGTCTCCAATTTACTGCAGCACTCTCCTTATAGAAAAAAAAAACAGCCGCATGACGAGAGATAAACACAGCAGCCCCTCGTCCTCCTGAGCGCTCTCTATTAGCACTTTGATGGGCTGACATGTCGCGATTGGGAGGCCATAAACAGTTTGTACGCTTGGCGTCATTTGGGTGTTTTTGGAAGGTGCGGGGACGATAGGGGCAGAGTGATGAAAGAGGAAGAAAGCTGCTTTGCAGGTTTTAGCCGCACACCACAGAACAGGCCTTCTGGTATTTTTGAATTATGCTAAGCTGCATTTGCCCCGGGTTTGCCAAAGGCTGCTTTTTTATGCACCCGCTGTTGCATCTCATTCGGATGAGGTCTTACAGTTGAAAACCCCAATCCCGTGACCTCCCCTTCTCTCATCGACACACACACACACACACACACACACACACACACACACACACACACACACACACACACACACACACAGCAGCATCACTCTCGCGGCTAGCAGAAATGGAACGGAGGCTTTCGACTCAGATGGATCTTTAATACCGTCAGATCCTCTGAAGACAAAACCTCTGAAAGCATTAAGGCCGAATGCACACATCAATAATTGGGCCGAAAGTTGGAAAAAAAAGAAATGGCTTCTTTCCTATTAGCTGTTGCGTATCAGCCTTTTTAGTCACTGTTATGTTTGTGTTTTGAAAATTGCAAATTTAAAGCAGAAATTCTCAACTTGTTACTCAGGATTACTCGGGTGATCTTTGAAAGAATCACTTCCCACATACCGTTCAGTTGTATTTCACTTTTTCCCAATATTATATAGTGTTAATGTTCAAACTGCTCATAACGTACAGAGACTTGCAATACTGTTATTTTCATGAACCCTTAGACCTGCTACACTACTGTACTTGTAGGGATAGACCCATTATCTGCCCGGCTGATTATTGGTGCCGATATTCTTCATTTTTACCAACATAATTCAAACGGCAGACAAGAAATAATTTCAAAGGGGGAACTTCAGGGAACACATTTTTTTTGTAATTTCCTCATAAGCACTGTACAAGCTGTGATGGCTGCTGGAGCAAATTCGGTTCCAGAAAATGTTATTTATCCCCCGGCAGTGATCCCTTGAGCCAGGGGATGGTGTTTGCAATGTTATATTGCCCCAGTATTAAGAGTGAGCCCCGTGGGTGAAGGGTTATTGGGTCAAGGCTGAAAATAGGGATCTGTGTGTGTATGCAAGGGGGAGGAGGGGCTTCGGTTCCCATGGGCTGTCCTCGTGCATGCGTACATGCACGAGGGGAGATTTGTCAACATATTAAAACAGGAGGTCATCCAAAAGGGCTCATGCTGAAGCTTGACACAACCGAGTGTCATTGATCGAATGCAAATAGACACGCGGGGCTAATTTTTTTTTTCTCCTCATATTAACCCTTTGGTGCACCCTGTAACCCCATAAGGTGTCCACCGTGGTAACCGCTGTCCCTCAAAGGGGCACACACGCGCACATATCAAAAGAGACACTTGTTGGGATCGGTGTGCGTCAATGACGGCGTGGACGGACTCCATCACCCGGTCACCATATTCCCTCGGTTGCATGAAAGAAGGTCCAGTCCAGTCTCGGGGGCTGTTTGAAAAGCCCACTGAGTGGCTTCTTTGTGTTATGTAATTGCGCCATTGTGTTCTCCCTCCAGTGTCCCTGGAATTAGCTCTCAGATGGCTCATTCACTTTGCATTAAGCCCCGCGCATGAGAGGACGATCGCAGATGGATAGATCATAGCAACTCAACATGGCACTCATGGCGTATTACGCCTAATGGTTTCTTTTGTCTAATGTCTTCATGTATTATTCAACCCAAAGCCTCAGTTAGTGCCTCTCACTTATATAAACGATTGTACGGTCAAGTCAAAGAGCCCCCCGCGATATTCGACTTTCATCATAGCCTGTCAGAAGCATATTTTTTTTTTTAACACCCCACTTTGTGAGTTAATCATGGCCGCTTAGCATGACTCGGCAACCGCTGCAATAAACACTCATGTGTCATTAATTACGCCAAACCGGCGTTCCCAGAATAACCTCAAAGACTGGAAATTGCATTGTCCAGCCGAAAGGCTTTGGCCCCTTACTTCTCACCCAGTCGCATTGTTGTTGTTTTTTTTTTTTTCTGGACAATGGCTCGCAGATACTTACTAATTATCGCACCTCAAGGATGAAGTTGCAGACATGTGTGAGATTGATTGTCTTGATATCCGAAGATGCAACTGATTCATAACAAGTAGCATGTCATATTTTTGGAGTATAAGGCGCACCTTCAATGAATGGCGTATTTTTAAAGCTGTTCTCATACACAGGGCGCACCACATTATAAGGCGCATAAGAATAGAAGCTACAATAGTGGCTGCAGTTGCGCTATGTATCCATTAGATGGAGCTACGCTAAAGGGAATACAATACAATACACTACAGCTTTATTTATGTAGTGCTTTCACATCCGCTGCACTGTAACAAAGCGCTTTACAGAACATTTAAAATAATACGTCCAAGAAATCGGAATGTTGATCAATATTGTTCTACTTCTTCCATTCATAACTTTGCTGCTGTGAATTGGGAATTTCTCCTTTGCGAGACTAATAAAGGTTTTCTTATCTGATCTTATCTTATCTTATATAAGGCGCACTGTCGGCTTTTGAGAAAAATGAATGCTTTTAGGTGCGCTTTATCGTGCGGAAATGACGGTACATAGTTTTTCAAGGAACAAGATTTCTTTTAAATCACGTATAATACCCCAGAAGGGGATCCGACATCGCAGACAGACCCCCCCCCCGCCCCCCACACACACACTTTCAAATCCAGTGCAGTATGCTGTGGCCTTCAGAGAAAGACTAGATACAAGGAGGGGGGGAGACCATGTTGGAATTGTGCAACTAGGTCACCGTCAATCCGGTAAGCCTGAATAAATCATTAAAAAGAAAAAAAAAAAGAGCAGACTTGTTTGCGTTACGTCATGATTACGATATAAAACTGCTTCATATCTATGAAGCTGGTTTCCCAAACCACTAAGACATGTGAAGACGGCATTAGCCCGGTGCGGAGGGAAGGATGGGCTCACGTTGGGTTTCGAATTTTGCAGATTCTTAGCAGTCGTCATGGTACCAGTGACATGAAGTGCAATGGTGAGATGGGGGCGGGGGGTGTCGGGATGGTTGGCACTGTTACTTGAGGGTGATTATTTCTAGCCGTGCTATTCAGGAGTTGAGAGAGAGCGAGAGAGGTGGAACTGCGGGGCTTATTTCGACATGCAAGTGGGGAAGGGAATGGAGGGAAAATTGCGAGAGCAGGTGGAACAGACCTGAACCAAAAAATTATTGGCCATCCGTCGTTAAACTATAGTCACATTCAAGTGTTTACAATTAATGTGGATTTTTAAATGCCCGGTCAGTGGATTTAAAGCTAGTTGTTAAGTTTCTCCGCTGCAAGTGAGCGCAGGCCGGCGTTGCGCCGCACTGCTAAATAAACAAGCCTCTCTCATATTTATACAGCAACCCGCAGATAAAATTACATTCCTCGAAAATGATTTAGTACGGCCCTCCAATGCTTCCTCAGTGAACACGTCTCCCAAGAATGCATTCAATCCTCCTTTCTGTTGGTTTTAACGCTGCCAGTGGAAACCCAAGCTAGCGCAATCATAAATCAGTTGATCTGCTGGCTTTAAAAAAAAAAAAATTTAGTCCACATCGTCGCCTTCGGGCACTGCGTGAATCACTTTTATCGACCCGCCGCAACATTTTGACCTGCCGTTGCATGAAAACCGCAAGCGCGGTAAATAACACGAATGACTGTTTGGATTTAAGGCCTCCATTTCCAAGGCTCTGGCAAGCATTAGTGAGCCGCTTTATTGGGGGTAGTAATGGAACGGGGCCATTATTAATGTTGTTAATCACACCTGAGTACGGTTTCGTACACGACGGCAGCACATCAGGTCTGTGACATCCTGCATCTCTTTTTGCATGAATCACACATGCGGTTAGATGACGAACAGCTTTATAAATCTGCTTTGGCATTTGGCCATGCAGCAAGATTGGGCAAACTTTCAAGCTGTTTACGTTGATATGCGGCGCTTCAGCAAAGTTTTACATCCACATAAAACGCTCAGCCAATGAATATGTTCGTAAATGATATTATGACATGTTACTGTTTAGCTCGTACAGTCAACGACTTGGCTTTTGTGTATAAGCTTTCGGTTCATTTTACCCCGGGGGAATATTTTGCTTTTTTTCTTTGGCTCCTCTGCAACACTTAGTAATTCCGTATTTAGAGTGAAAGCGGGCATGTTAACGAAAAGTGACTTTTTGTTGCTTGTATAGAAAAAGATGGGTCGCCAGAGTGCCTGGACTAGCCAGTGCTGGTGCCAAGGTAAGCTGAGCTGCATTGTGTTGTGTTGAATGCACTGATTAGCATTGCTTCCAGTGTTAGCTTCTGATCAGCAGCGCTTGATTTTTTTTGAAATTGTAGACGCATCATCAAGGTCTTTGTGTTCGGCAATGTGCCCCCTTGCACCACAAACACACAGTATAAATTATGAGCGGCTGTTTCCATGAGTTTAAATCCTTCATTGTGTTGTGCACTCGCTATTTAGACCATCTCGTTCTGGTGTGCTGCTTTTGTGCCATTTGCTGCTGTAAAGCCATAATGTCTCATTGTTGTACTAATGAATTCATATTGTGTTTTCTCCTCTTTCCCGTTACTTACTTTATGGGGAAGACGAATCAGATGCGACAAAATTAGGCAGA